GAAAAAAGTCTAAAAAGGTTTTCGTGAACAGATTTATGTCACCTTTGAATAAAGTGGAAGAGTACTCAGCAAACATTTCTTTTCGTTCCTCCAAAGTACAGTATAACTGCTTTTTGCCATCGGTTAACAGAAAAAGGTCTTGCGAATCTGATGCTCAAAGAATTATTTAATTTAGTCAAAAAATGAGTGAGTTATGAGCGATCGATTACACAAAATATTTTTCATACTGCTCTTTTCGTTCTCTTTTCTGTAGAGAGACAGAATACGACAAATGCGAGGCAAATGTCAATAGAGATACATCTTAGATATGTGTATATCACTACCATTTATGGCCTATTTATTTGTTTGTAGATTGAAAGGATGGTACGTGCATAGTAGTTGAACCACATTAAGGATTACTTCTTTAGCTTCTTTCTCAATCTTCATGGTTCAACTTTATGATTGAAACAGTTGGTAAGTGGATTAGTTTTTGTACTAATGGAGTGAACTGGTTAGCTCTGTAACATGTGCTATCACTGATGAGATTGATCCCTTGTGTCTTACTAAATTGCTCTGTACTGTAGAAATGCTTGGTGTTTCGAAGAAAAACTAGAACTGAACACGGGATACAATTGCTATGCGTCAGTTTGAGACAGATAATATTCATGTTATATTCTTACCAAACCTTATCGAGATCCTATTTTGAGCTGAGTCATATAAGAATTTCATAAGAATGTTATCAATATCTTACGCATTTTCATAGACTTCTTTATTAATAGTTTCATGAGATTTCGTTAAGATTCCTATAGACATCTTACATAAGATTGAATGTCTAGAGAAGGTATGAATAACTGAAATTAGAGAAACTTCAGTGTTGAAAACTGATCAGGAGTTTTCTACCTTTGTTAGCAGCTTGGAGAACGTATATAATAGTATAAAATGAAAAAATGTCGAATCATTGTATGGTATTGAACTAGAATAAATAAGTGATTACCTAAAACAATTGAAATGTAATGTAGAAAAAAAGAAACTAATGTTTACTAATTCAAACAATGAAAGTTTGTTGCAGGAAGGCATATTTTGTTTGTTTTCGAATGACAGTATATAGTATATTTATACATAAAAGTATATTTTATTGACTTTGTGATGATGTAGAGTGTCTGCTAATATTATGCTAGTTAAAAAAATGTCAATCAATATTGTTTAGTAAGAGGACAGTGATTTCATCTGTAATTAGTTTACTCTTATGGTTGTGTTTGTCATGAAGTTGGAAAGATGGATTTAGTGTGTACTGAATTATTGGGCTTTCTAATATCACTTTAATAAACAGACCATCTATGGCTCTATGACCTCGAAACTTTAATATTTTTAATATTCGTTACATTATAAAAATTACTTGCAGTACTTAATTCGGTGTTTCAATAGCATACTTATTTGGTACAACTGATTTAGTTGAACTGAGTCAAGAGATAGATTCAGACTTAACCGTTTACCCCGGATGTACTGGATGTAATAGTGAATATTGTAGAACTGATATAACAGGATGACGATGTGTCACATGAAAAAACGAATTCTTTTCTAACGTAAGCTGGCACTATAAGCTAGCGCTTGCTATTAAGAAAATTTTTTTATCAAGGCTAGACAAAGGTATACAACCTTTAACTTTGCTTTGCATGATTAGCTGCCGAGTGTAAAGGGGTTAATATGCATTGATAGATTAGGTTATCCATCTGCGATCATGATTTTTTAGTGAATCATACTGTAAACGACGATTATATATTTCTCAATCAACACGTATGTAGAACAGTATGTGAGCTTCCTTCCGATCATATTAAGAATTAATGTTATAATAATCATTCGTTGATTGTGAGCTATCCCTGAGTCTTTTGCATTCGTTATCTAATATAGAATATAACTTTTTAGCCATTTCAACCACTGTAGTTTAATTGTCCTTGTTCTCAAAATATGTTTTATCGCTGAATTGAATTATGTTCATGACTAAATCTATTATGACTGAATTGTATTGAATACAATTTAGTCACAATAGATTTAGTCAATATTCAATATGTATACGGTATACATATTGAATATTGACGAACAGGATTTTCAAAAATTAGAATTATATTTTAAATGTTCTGAATGAATTGTTCTGTTACAGCCAACAGTAACGGTATATTTGTTGGCCCTTCAAACAGCATTTACTCTTACATGTCCGATGTGTAACACCGCATACAGACCAAATTGTAAGATGATGGATGTTCACAGCAAATTACAATCAACATCCGTTTGATTATTTGCATACATCAATATTTGTAATAATAAATCTTTCAAGATTCCTGGTTTTAATCATTTTGAAGATAACCAAAAAATATCAAATTATCGTTGATAGGTGTAAAATCTCTAAAAACATTGAACCTTATCGTCTCTTAATGTGTTAATCATTAGCAATTTTCACAAGTAAACCGACTTTGAACACTACATTGAGAGCAGTTTTACTAGTGATCTATCTTACACGTACTCAAACATTGAACTGAAACGAATCGTCAGTCCTTCATCACTCGCAGGAATAATTATACACGTTTTCGAACTTTTAGTCCGCCTCAGCTTTTCTTACAAAATTTATTGAAATAAACTGAGAATAGTCAGAAATGAAAATGAAACAAAAAAATTCGACATCTTTGATACTAGTATATTTGTCTACTACTGAACCAATCAAATGTTAATATGAGTCATTCTATCTGTTTTTTTTTCAGAAACATGTGGTTCGCTTCACTCCATATATACATATTTATTTTATCAGTTTTAAAAATCCTTTTACTCTTATCTTGACAATGGGTATTGATTGGTCGGAATCTCAAGTTCTACTTTAGATTAATTTTAAAAATAAACTATTCATAAAAAATGTTTTTTATCTCTACTTTTAACTTAATCTTATTTTCAAAAATTTACCAGTTCAGGCAAATGTCTATAATGTGCTTATTTTACAATATTTCAGATAAAAGAATTCATTGTTTTGTTGTTCAAGCGATGTTACAAGACGGCACGGACATTACGGGTACATGTTAGTAGATTTGTTTATTATGAATTGAGTGAAAATGTTTAGAAGAAAGTGGAATGATGTGACAGAAATTTGTTTATTATATACACGTGCTCATAGTGTATCGATTAAAACTTTTTCAAATTTTGACGTCTTTATTATACGATTTATTGTACGGTTCATAAATGTTTATGAAACTATTCACGTGAGATCTTCAAGTGATATCATATTTTAGTATTCTGAAACTATCAATAAACACAAAATTACTTTTGTATGAGTAAGACTCGAAGGAGTGAAGTATCATAATAAATTGTAAAAGTAAATTCACTATGTCTTATCTATACACTGTACAACTATTTCTTTTTGAAACTGTCTGTTAATATGATAGAATCGTATACTTTTCCAAAGGAAATTAGTAATTTAGGTTATCATTTATTGTGTTTATATTCTTTTTAGTACCAAAGCCATTATCAGTGGATGAACCTGTTCAACATTATCTATCGTCAACATCAACATTTTTAACTAATCATATCTTAAATATAGCCTTCTCCCCATGCTCAAAATATTTAGCTGTACCTAAACAAGATATCTATGGCCGAGATCGTGTCGTTGTTATTCGTTGTTCTGATTGGCATTCAACAATTAAAGATGAGGAACTATCCATACATAATCAGTTTAGTTGTACAGCGACATGTTGGTCATTAGCATTTGGCAAACGTCACCATGAAACAGAAGCCAAGGACGTTCCAATTCAAAAGAAATTATTGATGTTGTCAAGAAGACGATCAAGTTTATCCGCTGTTAATCGGCGATTTGATTTTACCAAAGATTTATTCTTAGCAGCAGGATTAGCCGATGGAAAAATCAATATTTGGGATATAAATACAGGTAGAAAATAACGAAGCTCTCCAAAGAAAGAAAATTAGGCTAGAAAGCTTTCTTTTCTCTATAGGTGAACTGATGCTTGTACTAAAAGATCATCAGTCTACTGTTCGATGCTTATCATTTACGTCAACTTCAATGCAATTAGCATCTTGTTCATCTGATTCAACGGTTAAACTTTGGGATTTATTAGATGATGGTAAATTGTGTGTAAATGTGTTTGATCATCATCCATCATTCATATATTAGCTAAATTTAGGTAATATGTATAAGACGTTGAATGAATGGTCAGATGTTGTTTATAGTGTCAAATGGTCACCAGATGAAACATTATTATGCATTACAGGACCTGTAGGACATTTGGCTCTACATAATACCGTACAATGGTCCACACCAATGAAACTAGTGGGACATATTCACAATGTTGTTGACTGCTCATTTTCATCTGATAGGTAAATATTCCAAATTTAACGAAATATATTCTATCTGTGTTTTTTTTAATATTTTTTTAGTGCATTATTAGCAACAGCATCCTTTGATACACGTGTGATCGTGTGGTCAACATCAACAGGTGAAATATTGAAAGAATGTTATCATAAAACACCGATGCCATCGTTGATTTATGCTGGCGGAGATAATGGTGCATATGTGAGATGTGTGCAATTTTCAAAAAATAATGATTATTTAGTGACAGTTTGTGACGACAAGTAAGATGATACTCTATTATAGATTAAATAGTGATCGATCTTAACAATACATTTTAGTAAAGTACGTTGGTTTCCATTATCGAAAAAGAACGGTTTTCCAATATATGAAAAAGATCAAAGTAATGTTTTATCAATAGCATGCACTAAAGATGGAAGAACGCTAGCAATTGGGTAAGCACTTGTAGATATAACCACATTTAGCATTATCCTAATAACCACATTACTTGTTTATTTTAGAACGAGAAATGGCGAAGTACATTTATGGTCAACATTATACAGCTTACCACCGAAATTAAAAAATTTATGTCGAATAAAATTAAATTCTGTTGCAAGCTTGAAACGAAATCAACTCTCAGATTTACCTTTATCACATCAATTATATTTATATTTATTATATAAAGATTTATTACCAGTGTCTCAAACAGTGCAAAAGAAATTATCAAAATAGTAAGGAAACATGTCAATTACTCATGTATCTTTTATTTTAGACACATTTCTTTTGTGTTATTATTTATTTTGTTTGTTTTCTGTTTATGGATATACTATTCTGTTTTTCTCATTTGTTATTTATTAGTTGTTGTTGTTAGTCATGTTTTACTTCCAAAAATATATGATGTTTTATCTAATACAGTAAGCATCAGATGTCTTTCATCGTTTAAATCTGATTGCATATGTTCTCCTTTTTTTGTTTTCTTCGGCTCTCGAACACATCATTTTTTTTTTCATTTTTATGTACATATGAGCGCAGATATCTCTTGTAAAAGAAATACGACAACAAAAACAACGAACTTACATTCTCTAGAGAAGTGAGACGAAAAGGTCAATATTCTAAAAATGAAAAGTGTAAATAAAATTGTTCGATTAATGCCATCAGGATAAAATTTGTTAATTTAATCGTGTTATAATTATTTAGCCAATCTCGGATTTGTTCTAAACGTTCAATTCAATTTAGTCCTCGATCAAAATAATCCAGTATTTATTCAGTGTCTGTCTATTTCTCTTATGACCATGATCCGGATAGTTTTTAGACGACTTGACAGAATTTTGGTAATAATTGTTATTAATTTTCTAATATCATTACTCAACCATTTTATTGTGGCAGAATTGAATAGAGACTCTATTGTTACTGCTAGTATTTCTCAGATATGAAAAGAAAGTGGTGAAAAATATAGGATTATAGATCAGACAACTTTACATTTTTAACTGTAGTTGTAATTTTTGTTGAAAATAACGATTTGGCGAACACTACTGTACATAAACTGAGAAATTTTTATGTCAATATTAGGTAGCACTCAACTTATTGAATTGTCAGAGTTTTTTGATTTAGCAATGAAAAAGGAAGAATCTACACCATAAATCTGGGTAGTTTGAAATCACTAGATGATTTTAAACATTTGTTAAAAATAAAATCTTGAAAGAATATTAAATATTGGACGTTTAAATGTAAAGATATTATCACCATTGATATCATCACTTCTACTTTTAGAATATTTCTCAATGAAATATTGCATTCTATGAAACAGTATATCGACAGATATAGTAAAAAAGCACGCACTTGCAAAGAACATGCTCGTAAAAATTAAATAGCACTATCTCATACTGATGATATTATCCTATGTAAACATACACGAGCGATGAATTTTGGGAAGAAATTGTTCAATTTATACCATTCAAATTCAACCATTTCTGTCGGAGTGTAGATAATGCCATTTAGTGAGCATTCGATGGACCGTCTATATTGTTCATAGATAAAATCAGACTATATGGGCATTGCAAGCTTTAACTCAATTTAGCTGGATTCAGTCGAAATCTAAGTTTTAGAGGGAGAAAGAGTAATGTGGTTTTCAGTAGATGGTCCAATATTTTGCATGAGAAAAGCAAAAGCTGCAGACTTTGTGAACACGCCCCTAATGACTAGTAGCGTAGCCATTGAGTAGCCATCGCGCTTCTGCTGAATCTTTTTGTCTCTCTTCCACTAAAAATTTTATAATAACAGCGAGACTCTAATTTCCTATTTTCTGTCTCTTTGAAAGACTTGGTGCCCTCCTCTCCTACAGTGCACAGTGGGCCCTCACCACAGTGTGCATTTTTCTAACAGCAGGAAGACATTAGAATTTTTTGATCTTAAATCATTTTTTGGTCAATAATTATCAGTCATCTCTGATGCTTTTAAGGAAGAAATAAACGCTTTCAGAAGAAAATCGCTTTTTCAAAAAACGGATTTTACAGATTCAAGGAAAAAAATTTTGATGGATATTTTTTCGATCCAGAGCTTATTATGTTGTGTTATACATGGTTTGATGTACCTCGACGCATTGATTTAAATGTTTCGGTTTTGTCGAGAAAAAAACCTTTTCGACAGAGAAAAACGAATGTTACCTTGAAAACCTGTTGTGCGATTCAAAAGAATTTGTGCTAAAGGTGTACAGGTGTATTACAGATGAGAGAACATATGTGCAAAGTTTGAGAAAGTTTGAAGTTTGAGGAAATTTAGGATCTTCATTGACCTGAAGACGTCTGTTCCGAAACATCGTTAGTCTGGAAAATAATTTTACTTCCTCACAGAATCAGGCTCGGGAAAACCCTTTTTTTTCTAACAGATAGTTAAGAGAGTATCGTTTTTACTTCCAAGTTTACTGGATCTAACATCAAAAGAATTTTAACTCACTCCGGTGACTTTTTAGGCTAATTTTTGGCTCAGCGTTCTCTCACGATCCGTACTAGTTAAAAATAAATTTTTATATCATTCAATAGCGCTTGTTTGAAAGTATACTTTTCTTTATCTAATCTGAAAAAGGCTCACTTTCCCTTTGTTTGTGAATAAACTTTTTCAAATGAGGGGATTTTCCTCTCTAATAAAATTGTCTGCTATAATTAATTTTGAATCGACAAATATTGCACATCTTTGTTTGAGACGAGTATGATTTTAATAGACGTGCAAACTTAGTACAGATGACACATATAACTAAATAGAGATGATCTTGAAAGTACAGTTCAATTTCTGTTATACGTCTGATCGCTGATCTATTGAATATATAGGTCAGAACAAAATATTGACAAAGCGAAATGTTAAAACATTTTGTTAATTTATTGTATTATCAACCTTCAAGTAAATGAAATCAAAGTAAAACTTTGTTACATTTTAGAAAAGTTAGTAGACACACATTCTTTGCCGTTAATGATGCTCGATGTGGTCTCATCAGAAAACCACTTTGCGAGAAAACGCGCTCGATAGAAGCCGATGTCGCAGGCACCGTTAGATATTTTAGCGGAAGTTGATATAATCCTGGATAGATGTGCTTTTTAGAAAAAAGTAAATTTTCTTCACGACTTTCTTCGCATAAATAACACACACTTTATCTGGAATTTCAAATATTAGATTATCGAGTACTGACTACCTCGAGTACAAGTACGAGTACGAGTATCAGTCCCTCGAGTACGAGTACGACCAAAATCGTACTCGAGTACGAGTACTTCGAGTATTTTGCCCAGCTCTGCTACGTAAATTATTTACCATCTTGCTGCTCATATACTTTGATGTGCAATAAAAAATACCCCAAATTTATGATTACAGAGACAAGCGTGCTTTTTTCAATAACTTCTCCTCGATAGCAATTAAAGAATGGGATATCTTCGTTAAAGGCATCCAGAAATTTGTGTTAGATAAAAGCATATGAAATTCCTCAATTTGCTTAGAAAATCTTTCGGTGGATATCTGGATCAAGCTACCGTCCCACGTGGATAGAAGGACTGATGCGCTCTACTGTCGGCTTAGAGTCGAGTATCATTTCAAACAGTATAAGTTAACCCACGATGAATATATGTGATCAGTGCCAGTTTCCAAATCCTGCTCGAAGCGAGACTGAGGATTTTGCACACTTCTTTCTTTGTTGTTCTGTTTTTCTCAAGCCAGAGCTGCTCTTATGACTACTCTCTTGAAGATGATGACATCAGACCTCGTTTAGACACTTTTTTGTCGAGGGTGAGATAGACATGGACACAACAAAATTAATCTCCATCACTGTGTGAAAACATATTGATGCTACGCATCGTCTTGAGTAGAATCTGTTGGATTGCTGCACTTCACAATTTTTTTATATCGTTTTATGAAGGAAATGTTTCTTTCTGTCTCTCAGGTTTCTTTTTAAATTTCTCTTGATTCCGTATGTAGTACTTACTCTTAGTCTAACGTTTAAAAGCATCACTTAACCATTTTACCATTTTTCTTTTTTCTTTTTTCTTCTTTATATATCTCATTTTCTTCTATTATAAATTTGATTCTATTTCTATCTTTTCTCCTTCATCTGGCAAAAAAATCATATTCTGTGGTCCTAGATCATGATTTCGTTTTTTGTACTTTTTTACGTGCTACATCATCTCAAGAAATAAAGTTTAAATTAACCTTTACATTAGGTTAAACTTGGTGCACGAAGAAGTGTACATCGAAATATACAGCTCGATAAATGGATGCTTTATCTAGAACATTTAGATAGTAAGAGTAAAAATATCAGTCGATACTACAGCATGTAGATATTTTGGCTGACGTAATTTTAATTAGATTAAAGAATAATATTCTAGCTACAAAATAAGACGCTTCCCACCTTTCTAAGCCACACGGATTTCACAATCAGAACTTTTTGGCCAACATTAGAAGATCTGTGATCCCTGATATAGTTATCAGCAAGCTATGTATCGAAAAGAACAAGAATTCCTTGTTGTTTTGTAAACATACGTTACTTTTTCAATATTTAAAACTGTACATGAAAGATACCTGTGATTTTGGTTTACCTCTTAAACAGATTTCCCAAATAATGATAGTTTTTGTTATTTCTTTTTTACAAGAAAATTTCTTTTTTGAATACAGTTTTGAATAACAGACTTTTTTTGACAGTGCCATATTGTAGAAAAATGTTTTAACTACATTGTGAAAATTACACTAACTCTAATACAGTCATTTCTTCTGAAAACTACAAAAAGTGTACTGATTATAGAAAAATAAAACAACAAACAATTATTTATGATTTCAATATCTATAGGTTGTTGAATGTCTATTATAAACTGAATATCGCGGTATATCATTACTGTAGACTAAATAATCAGCATCTGGTTCATATTTTGAATAATTACCTGACGACAGGCTATAATTAAGTGGATATGTTGATCTTGTTCGAGATTTTGTCGATGGTAAACGTGCTAATTCGTATATGCGCGATCGATGATTAACGTTCGGCGATACGTAAGGTACTATAAACAATAAAATAATCTTAAAAAAATAAATTATTTACCATGTATGCACATACTTGATGATGATGATGATGTTATTGTTGTTCTTCCCGTTTTCATTACATCATTTTCAATGAGACGTAGTCGATCTTTTGCTTCATTCAATTCTTTTCGTAATTTTGAACAGAGTGACAGTGCAGCATCGGTTATCAATTTTTGTGGTATTAATTCATTATTTTTACAATGATTTATGGTTTCTTCTGTTATTTTTGAAAAATCAATTTGCGATAATAAACTCTCACGTTCTGAGCTATTCAAATTGATTTTATCTAAACAAAAATCGAAAATCAACTTCATTCAGGTATATACATCAAAATAAACCAACCATTTTTCAATATATTATCGAGTGCTAGTAGCAAACTATCGTATGAATTACGTTGCTCTTTTGGAACATATGATGCTAATTTAACAAAATTTTCACTTGTCAAAATTCCTTTACCACGTAAATTTTCTGCATAAGAATCGACCAATCTCGAAAGCTAAAAGAGAAACAACCTTGACGTGTCATGTTATAGAATGGGTTAATTTAAAAAACTATTGAATACAAACTTTTTGTAACATAATTGGATCTTTGACTTGATCTCTATGTTTACCAACTTCTTCAAGTAAATGAGCCATTGTTTCTTCGGGTATATTATTAATATCTTCATCCGCTGAACATAAAAGAGTACATGTAATCCATTTTGATAGTGTTTCTTCACATTCACAATTCAATTCTTTTGCTTGTTGATGACACGCCATTAGCCAGGATAATGGAACATATTCGTAGAATATTGTCTGATCCAACAATTTGATGATATGATTCAGAATTTTCCGTTTATCATCATCAGTGTACACAATAGTTATCTTATTTTCATATTGAATTGGTGGATCTCCATTCGTGATGGTGTTAATGTTTTGTGTTTTGAGTGAATCGTCAAGATATGATTTCGATGAGCTACTTGTCGTGTGTGAATTATTCAAGTGATTATTGATCTCGTTCTCAATCATAATCGCCGATGTTAAATAAGGCTTAATTATAACCACAATACCTGCCATAGATAATTTGGAATCGATGCTTAGTTTAATGAAATCTTCAAGCCAATCTAATGGTAATTGTGCAATTATTTCTTGATCTGATTTCGTTAACAGATGATCGAGTTTCAATAAACTATGATATTCTAATTTTCTAGTACCACCACTATCATTCATTCCAGCTATTCTCAATAGTATATCGATTATTGATTGTAAACATTTACCAACAGTTTGTGATTTTTTCGCCAACTGAGCAAATTCGATACTTTGTTCTAATAATACCAGTGGGATACTCAAGTCATGTTTTGATCGAGCAACAAGTAATATATCGTTGATACGATTATCTAACATTGTTGCTAATGTGGAACAATCAACAAAATACGCAGCTGATCGTAAAACAACGATATTTGAGTGATCAATTGTTATTGGAATGTTATAGAAGAAGTCTGCCATTTGACTAAATACATTTTTACCACCAGGAAATTTATCAAGTTTAACTGTCAGATGATGATGTGAATCTGGCTGCTGTTGTTCAGATAATAGTTCGACTGCCTTCTTAAAATAATTACTTTTTGTAAATAATGGAAATGTATGAAGTTTAAATTCACCATCATCAACCAACACTGTTATGTCAGATAATTCGCCAGTGCGACGAAAATTTTCAAAATTCATTCTCTTAATAGATAGAAAAGAATATTAATATAAACGTATTAAATGAAGAGAGGTTCATTTCATTTTCTAACCCTTTCCTCAATCATATAATTGAAAAAATATTGTATTCTGAATATTTTGCTGAAACAGCATTGTAGAAGACATTACAGTGCGTCTTTTTTAACGCGATAAATATGATTTCTTTTGATGTTTACAAATTTTTCTGTTTCATATCATTTCCAAATCCAATAATGAAGCAATAGAAATAAACAAATTTACAAATTTATTTTTTCATTTCTGTTTTAATATAGACATTACTTTGCGAACTTGTTTCATCGAGAGAGTCGCTCCCGTTTTTATCTCAATGTAGTACACCGGTTTAAAGCTGTATTCAATATTTGTACCGCAAATAGTAATAATGTTTCCGAAAAATCTGTAAAACAATGATATAGATGATCTCGTTTTTAACCATACTACTATCCTTTTCAAATTATAAGAGTCCTGGTTGCTTTTGAATAATTTTTGAACAAAACATGATGAAAAATTACGGTTTTCGTCATTCAATAGCCAAGACTTTAAAGCATCGTTTTATAAGTAAGGAGTTTTTGAAGTTATTTCCCAAAGCCACTTTTCTCAGAGATTCCAGGAAAATCACTTCATAATCGGATATTTTAATATAACAATATATTAGTTTTTTCACAATATGCAAATATTTTACAAACTCATGATTTATTTACTCTTCATTAATTTTTGCTATTTCGGATATTTGTCATTTTTTACAATTACAGCAGCTCGAAACAAAGAACATGAAGTGAAATTCATCCTACAAGTTTCAGCAACTGCCGAACCCATATCAGATTTCACAGAAAAGAGAATGTAGATTTCCTATGCAGATGAGAAAAGTCGTTCGAGGGGTGCGGCGAGTACTCGAAAACAGGCCCTCGCCGAGGGCTCGAACCTTCGGAAAATGACACTTCGGACCCTCGATATAAGCTTTCGAGAGGTATCGATTTCGAGCCTTCAGATTTTACATAGGTAGCGAGCCATCGAACAGAGATGTTTCAAGCCCTGGCTCCTCCGAGAGTACGACGAGGACTCGGAAGTCCCGCATATCTCTATTTGACGGCTCGAAATTTTTCACGAGAGCTCGCTACCTACCTGAAATCGATGTCTCTCGAAAGCTTATATCGAGTGTCCGAAGTGTCATTTTCCGAGGATTCGCGCCCTCGTCGAAGGTCCATCGAAAGCATATTTTCGAGCACTCGAAGTACCCTTCGAACAACTGGTTAGGTGAATCCAAAAAGGTTTGACTGTCAACGTTAATATGAATTACGTCTTAAAAGCGAGAAATTTTTCTAACAGTGGTATGTGAACTAGATTTTCAGTTAATTGAGGAGAATTTTCTTTGTATCTGGCTAAGAGAATTTAAATTTAAGCTAGTACAAGTCATGTATATCTGTTAAGACAATCGAAATAGTTTCTTCATTTTCCAGTCACGCCTCTTGATCTTACCGATAGTGTACTTTCTTCCCGTTCCTTTTGCTCACTGATTGACAGATGATCTCTTGAACCTATTTTTGTGTATTATATCGTTGTACTTGTGTAAATGCGAAAAAAAACCTCATACGCACACATTTTTCTGTGTGCATACAAATTTTTATTTTATTTCTCAATAGTAAAAAATTTATTTCATAGAATTTAAATCTTCTTGCAACAGTACGATGGTTCATTTTTGTTTTTCTTTCTTTTTTTTATGTGATAATATTTTTTTTTATGCTTTCATACCGAAAAAAAAAACATATTTACTTGTTAAAATTAGTTTGTCTATTAGATGAAATTTAGTTACACATGATTTCTCATTAGTTAAACACTTTTTTCACGCGTGAAATACTTATGGTGTTTCTCGCAATTTTTCGATCAACATTGATCAGATTGCTACAATTTTGATGCTGTATGTGAAAACAGGCATCAAAACACCACTGCTATACTCTCCAATTTATCTTGACCAAACCTTCATCATATGAGACTTCTGAAATTATTAACTAGTCTCGATTCTGAGTGAACGCGACGGTTGTTGATACATTGATTAAAGGAAAATTTGTATAGTGTGCTGTGTTGTCGTATTGAGTGTAAAAATTTTAGAAGAATTTTGTAAGATACCACAAATAACGGTATTAAAAAAGGTTTTCTCTAAGTAAAGTACGTGACCAATCGTTTAAAGAACTTTTATCGAACAGGTTGTTTCTGGTAGATTAAAAAGGTTCTTAATTTTTCTAATTTGTATGATGGGAGACAAAAAAGTTCTTGCATTATCCAACAGATATAAGCAGAGCGAAAGGAGTGATAAAGAGATGAACCAAAGAATCACACGTAGCTTAGAATGAAAAATTTGAACTTTTACGATTTGAACACCATAGCTTGACTGAATTTAACCTTTGCAAGCGTATTATCTTCAGTTGCGCCAATACTAGTTGAATATACACAGGAACTTGTTTTAACAGCTACATAACAGGGTAATAATTATTATCCACGAATGCGTTCATGGAATTTTTCATTAAATAGGCTAACAGTACACAGTACTCTACAAAATTAGTGACATCCCCGTAACTCGGGAACCATGATAGATACGGACTTCTGGGTTTGTGTGGTCATAGCTCTCACCGAATGCTGATCGCCCCACCGGTATCGGTTCCTCTTACTGAATGGTTCGTGAGACATAAGCATTTCACTTCTTTCTCGTAAAATGCGAATAACTCCTGATCCAAGACAGATGAAAACGTTTTCTTTTCACCAAAATGTAGTCCTGATTCTTCTCTACCTACGATATGAATTTAAAGAGGTGCCGAAGAGGTGTAGAATCTGCATTCAACGTACATCATAATCAGGAAAACCTATGAGAAGGAGAAACATAGGTAAGCTTTGTCGGAGAGAATATACGCTCACTTTTTATCCTCGACATTTCACTCACATTGTGTCCCTTTCACTTCCCATAAATCCTAGCAAAATTAATGACATACTCGAAATCAGCAGACGAAACTGGATTGAATGACATACTTGAAACTGATTTTTCGAACAAAAATTTTATTAAAAACTTTCTCTCTTCGCGAAAAGTGAGCGTGTATTCTTTCTGACAAAGCTTACCTGTGTTTCTCCTTCTCATAGGTTTTCATGATCATATTTTTTCATGATTATGATGTACGTTGAATGCAGATTCTACAGTAGAAAGGACAACCCTTATTTCCCTCATCTTCGTCCCTCGATGTATGTTTCAATAGTGAGTGCTCGCTCACTCTCAATAAATTTTAGGAAATAGTTAGCCTTCATACTTTGACTGGATAATCTACAGTCGTCGAAGAGTATCTGCTGCGAGTTTGAGGTCGAAATGATGTTCCTGAATGAGTTATGATTGTTTTTTGTAAAGGACCTCATATCTCAAAGACTCATTTTCAGGGTCCTCAATCGTAAAATAGCTGTCTTTCGGTAACCGTTAATAGGTACCTCTTTAAATTCATATCGTAGGTAGAGAAGAATCAGGACTACATTTTGGTGAAAAGAAAACGTTTTCATCTGTCTTGGATCAGGAGTTATTCGCATTTTACGAGAAAGAAGTGAAATGCTTATGTCTCACGAACCATTCAGTAAGAGGAACCGATACTGGTGGAGCGATCAGCATTCGGTGAGAGCTATGACCACACAAACCCAGAAGTCCGTATCTATCATGGTTCCCGAGTTACGGGGATGTCACTAATTTTGCAGAGTACTGTAGAATGTTAAAAATATTTTAATGAATAATTACATTATAGAAGACTTATGTGTACTATTGAGTTTGATAGAATATAACATAACTTTACTGGAATTCTACAATACAGTTGTGAACCCGATAAAAGAGGACTAATTCTACTAATATCTAAAACTATTCATGTATTCTATGATTCTTAGCAAAGCCAGTTTCCGCTAAAATCTAAGAAAATAATGGTATAGTAACGGGACATTAAAACGGCAGAATTCCATCATATGCAATTGTGTAATAAATTAAGAGTTCCCAATATTATTTCTAACATTCAGAATCCGCTATCAAGCAGCCATGTACTCACTTTTTATAACAAAAAGTACTGTTTACCAATATTTGATTTATCAAGAATCACTAGAAGCTCTCTTCAAAAAACTTTCAATCTTCTAATCATTGTTGATTCGAAATCCATCGATTGTATTCAGATTATTCTAATATACGTGAAGACCAGAAATATTGTTTTTGTATTGAAGTAAAAAAACAAAAAAAAGCTCTAAGAATACATTGGAATTTTTTTTTCTCAATGTTGAAGACAGTTTGTTCAATACATGGAGTTTATGCAAAAGCCAATGCGTTCAAAGGTTGTTCTCATGTATTTAACAATTAATTTAAATAATTATTTTAATGAACAGAGATTAATAAACAATTGTCTTTTTTTGTAAAATGCAAATTTTCTTCCATTGTTTTTGGATATGATATAATAAACTTAATATAATCATTACCAAAGAACATCATCGACAACATAAAAACATAAATAAATATAAAAATGGGATAAATATTTTATCAATAAATGTATGTATTCACACACCGTTACTAACAGAAAATCTTAAATGTACATCACATGTTGAACACGCTAATTTTATGCTTGTAAGTTCAAATGGTCAAACAAGGTGCTGTATCAGATTGATATCGATCGACAAATGGAATATTGTCTGAGATTTTTCCCGCGTTAGAATGAGTATCACGCATTAAATAATAACCAATACCTAGTGCTTATGAGAGAGAAAGAAAAGTTGTACAAAAAAAAAAAAAATCAATTAATATAATGAAAATGATGAACGTACCTACTACAGCAGACAGAAAGAAACCGGCAAAACTATTCATTATCATAAGCATAAGAACATAACCTAATGCCACTTGTAGAATATAAATTATGGATGAAATTACATGAAGAAATATTCTAAATTAAAATATATTAATAAGAATGAACAAAAGTTAGACAATGATTTCTTTTTTAATATCATTGTTTATAGCTGACTTTTAATATCGACTAACTTTTTTCGACGAATATCTGATGATGAATCCGTTGTTAAAACAATTTGTTGATGTTGTTCTCGTGATGTTTTTAGATTACGACGTAGATAGGATTCAATTACTTTATTAAATTCAAGAAGTAATGCAAATCCGATACAAGCAAAAATAGCAATAAGACAATCTGAAATAATAATTAGGATGAAAAAAATTATTTTTGAATAACAAAAAGAAATGAATAGCCCGTGTACAATACCTCTAATAGAGTGAATATTGAGATTTTTTATCATAAAATCAGTCTGTAAATAATTGAATGTAAACGGCATGCTTATCTGAAATTATATAAATATATAATTTATAGATAGTACGTTTATCCAAAAATACTGTAGTCCATTTTCATTGTCAAAACTTAAAAATATCATATTATAAGATTAAAAATTTTAAACACTTGTTCTGATAAAAATGACTGTAGATTTGAAGTTTATCGACTCCGATCTCGCCCATGCTGAAAATTTTACACAGAGAATGGATCGAACTAGTTTTTTGCCTTCAAAATGAGATGTTAGCCTTCTCACCGGTGCTAATCAGCTTTTGATTTTTTTGGAAAATATCACATCTACATGAAAGTTTTGTTACATGGAAACTAACGTGGAGACGATGAATCCAAGCTTTTTTTAAACTAGTGCTATGCGATTTTGTTTACAGAATTGTATTAGTTCTCATTCAAAAATGAGAATAGTGCCGATTATTGTTTCCTTTATTCACTAACAATATTTTATAGAATACTATAATGGAATATTTTTTCGCTTGTATTCTAATAGAATGAAGGTTATATCAAAAAGAGAACACAAAAAACAAAAATTCCAAAAGAAAATAACATTGAGTCGATTGCACAACTTCAATTATTGTACAAAATATAGACACAGAACAGTAGAGTTAGTTTTGCAGTTTACTACAAAGCTAAATTCGTGTGTTCGAATCTTTTTATTTATACAAAATTGATTTTATGCTTTATGATAGTTTTAGTTTAGAATACTATAATGGAATATTTTTCCGCTTGTATTCTGATAGAATAAGTTTATATTAACAATATTTTATCAATTGGTACTCCGCTGATTCATCAAAACAATCAATGCAATACACTTTAATTATATAGATATTTGAAATATAAAGTAATTAAAGATTTTAAATATTCCTTTGACTTTTGATTTACACCAAAACAGACTCATATCGTGTAAAACACATAACTAACAGTGAATATGTTATCATTACATTTAAAAATTATACATACTTGACCTTTCTATTACAATGTAAATAAAACATTTCAAAAGAGTAAAAGAAAATGAATTCAAGATGTATATAAATCAAGAAAGATTGTGCGACTCTCTTTTTTCGTTCGTATACTAGTCTATTCAATTTTTTTGGTATATTAGAGTCAGAGTTGGAACCGTTTGAAAAAAACGCAATCGGATCGGATCGGTCGATTAAAAAGTTTTTCTAAATCGGTAAAAACCGGTCTAAAAAAGTTTGATTATTTTCTAATGATATTTGTTTTTCAGTGGTCTATGCCACTAAAACACACAGTGTATCCTTGTAACCATCTTTCAAGAGATAGAAATATAGGCACTTGTCGACACCAAGCTTCGAAATGTGTCAAAATTTCCAAGTCGACATCGAAAAGCTTGGTGTGAGTCCGATGAGCTCACTATGAGAATAAGATACTCATATACACACTTTCACAGCACGAACAGTTCTGACCGATATATTTCTTTATACTATTTTGTGGACAAAGCAGAAAAAATACAGAAAAATGAATAAGTCGTAACTAATTACTATGTGTTCATAAATACATGTATATGCCTAATTACTCGTTGAATGCATAGCTGAATTTTCCTTCAAACCCTTCTTAAAACTATAGGTGTTATTAGGGAAAAGGAAAAGTCAGTTTTGTTTCTGCTATTGAAATTTACACGAAAAAAAGCAAATTTTTTTTGAAATTCTTTTTGTTGAAAAAGTGATTTGAACAGAAGGAAAACCCTAAAAAAGTTTTATAAAGATAAATCGGTAAAAAAACGGTAAAAAACGGCCGATTGAAACTTTAATCGGATCGGATCGGGTCGGTCGTTTTACCGATCCGGTTCCAACTCTAATTTAGAGTGATCCATACCAATGCGGAAAAAGAAAACATTTACTTTGGAGTAAAAACTATCCTAGAATAATTTTTTTAGTTGAAAATTATATAAAAGTAATAAAAGACCAGTTGAATAAGTAAGATCACGATTGGATCATATCTAGATTCTTTAATGTTCACTGTTCGTTTTTAGCATTTTTCTCTGATAGTGAACGTGAAAATCATGGGTGTCCAATTAAATCAAGCATTAGTAATGGTGTTGAAATCCATTTAGTTAATAATGATAATAAATTTAGTTTACTACACCTTTTTAAAAACGAATCTTCTTTGCTTATTTTACTCCCATTAAACTTTTTGTTGTTTGTTAGTCCAGTATTAGTATTTCTGTCAATATGAATTTAGTTTCTATTGAAATACATGCATTTTTTTGTACTATAAGACTAAATTTACGTTCAAACTCAAAGAATACCAAGCCAGTTTTAATGTTCCGTTTTCCTGAATGAAAGAAACATAAACTTTAGTAAGACCTAATCGTATCTTCACTAGACTAAACTGATCAGTAGAAATTGTCTATTTTTATTCGTCACAGTTATAACCTACTATATCGTTATGACTATGACATTTATTTATAAGGCCAGAATATATTTATAATCATGGTAATCAAGAGCAAAAATCCATCATCTTGTACACTGTACAAAATAACAAAACATTAACACTAATATAATAAATGAACAAGTATAAACAATAATTAAAATCAATGATCATACACAATAATGTTCTCGATAATGTGAGATTGAAGAGTTGTATTTCAGTGTCCACTGTTGACCTTCAGAGTGCAAACACCTAACAGATTATTGTACTAAACTTTTACTCTTTCTTAAGAACATATTACTTGATTTCGGTTCGTCCGCTAGGATACAAGACTTGTGATAATTTTGAATCTTTCTCAAAAAGTTACAAGCTCCTGTCGATTCAAAAACACTCTCCGGAATATATTAAGATTGAATAAGTTGAGTTTTACTACTATTTCACATTGAGAAAGTCAATGTTTCATACATAACAACCTTTTTTAAAGTTTGAAAGAATCACAGCAACTCGTCATTATTCCACCATTATTTTTTCTTTTTGTCCGATTAATGATCAAGTTTTTTGTTTTTTCCAGGGTGGTAATATTTCATCTTCTTCCTCATTTCCACTTCCCTCATTTTTTGCTTGTGTTGAAGCTTGAAATATTGGTTTTGGCTGTGTTTGTTTATAAGCAGGTGCTACCCAATAAGGATCTGATTCCGATATTTCAGCATATTTCAATAATGCTTCTCTTGGATCTTCTTTTTGATCCGGTAGTTTTTGAAGGGCAATATTTTTAACAATGTAACCACTTAACGTTGAACCATGTGCACCTAATCGACCACCATGTCCCGCGCCACTCATTGGTAAATCGGGACGTTTCGACTTAACTGGATCTTCACGTTGTTTTATTCTAATTACCGATAAATTTCGAACACGATCTTGTCGATAAAGTGGTAAAGCATGAGGATTGATTATATTTATATTAATAAAGAAGTCGTTTTCTTTTTTCTTTCGTGGTTCACGATTCGCAAATGACAGTGCTCCGTTACGAGAGCGAACAGGATCATAATAGATTTTAACTATACCATCACTTGTTGTACAAAATATTTGATTCAATTTTGGACTCCACAGTGTACGAATAACACTTGCATTATCACTCACTTGTAAATGACAAATATCCTCTTGTAAATTTTGACGATTAAGAAAATATAATTTTCCAACATTTGTCTCATCCTTTTCTTCATCATTTTTCTTTCGAGTTGATGTACCTAAACAAAAATAACGATACAATAACAATCTCATTCAAATTAGCTAATTTCTTTTTCATAATAGGAGTCTGAATGATTAAAAAATTATCTACCTGTAATTAAATATCTATCATCTGGTGAAAATGCAATATCTGTCATTGCAAATCGATTAGGTAAATTTTCACGTGATGATAAACATTTTTTAAAATTTCGAATATCCCATATTTTTATTGTATTATCGGTTGAACGTGATGCAATATTAATACCATCATAAGACCATTTTATTGATGTGACTAGTTCATTTGGTTCATGTGCATGACGACTAAGAAATGTAACATTGACAAATGGTCGACGTCGATCCCATATTTGAATACTACCATCATCACATCCAGCCGTAATTAAATTTGTATTATTAGACGTTCCACTATAATGATTGTTATGATATGTACATGCGGTTGTGCTTACTTTTTTACCTTGTTCAGATTTTGTTTTTATCACAGTTATTTGTTGTTGACGTTTATAGACGGACCATAAACGAATTGTACCATCATTTGAACATGTCATAAATTCATTTAAATCTTTTGGATTCCAACATCCACTATTTAACATAGCTACATGTCCTTTTGTTCGAGCTTGATCAATAATGTACATATCACCACGAACACACTCATAGATTTGTTTACCTATAATAAAAATAAAAATATCATACGTTTTTCTATTATTATTCGCTGAAATAATCAATAGTTTTTTATACCTTCTCGATCCAAAACTTTTGCTTGACAATTTCCGCTAATAACTAATATCATATCACCAACTGGACTATATTCAATTGTTTTTAGTTGATGTGCTTCACATGGCTGTAACGTGCGAAACGATCGTAAATTTTTATCCATCGCTGAAAAATCCCACATTTTCATTTCATAATTAAAATCACCTGTAAGATGAAAATAATCACATATTAGCTAAGATGTAAATAATTACTTTTTCGACAAACCTGTTATCATTCTTAAACCACCTGGATCCAGTGTCAAACATGACACTGATTTTGTACCCTGTTTCAAGTCAATTTCGTGTGATACAGGAAAATGGGGTCCATCATCACTCGACTCTTCGTCATTATTAGGATTATCTTCATCTGACATATCATCGGTTGTTGTAGCCAAAGAAATCGATGGTCCAAAATCATCATCATCTTCATCTTGCTTGTCATTTTTTAATTCATTGTTTGATTGTAATTCAGTATCATTGTTTATCGATTTTGAACTGGAATGAAACGTTGATCCCGCTCCAACTCCTTCATCGTCATCACTATCATCAAAATTAATCTTTGATTTTGATGTTGTTGTATTACCGGCATTATTTGCTTTTATTTTTAAATCATTTAAACGTGTTTCATTCGATTCTTTTGCTTTTTCAATTTCTGTTGTCCAATCGATTGTTGAACGTTGTTGAGCTCCAAGACGTGCTTCACTAATTAATGAATCCAAATCAAATGTACGAGCAGTTTTCTTCTTTGATACATCACCATCACTGGGAGTGTCTGACATTGTCTCATACAAATCAATTTTAATTCGAAATTACTATCTACAAATAAAAAAAGAGAGTTACATCCAATGTTTAACACAATATTAAAATTAAAAATATGAAATTTATTTGACTGGATAAGATACTATGTTCATCAATCACAGCATATTCGTCGAAAAAAATTCACATCTACTTTCCGTTTTTTAATGCAGTGTCGTACTCTGGTGATTAAAATAACAAATAGATAGTTTAACGACTTTATTAGCGCTCTAATCTTATCCAAAACTGACTTGTCAATAATAAATACTGTTAAAATATCGGATGACGTGCCGTCTAGAACACCGCTAAGGAAATAAGCTATTATAATAATAGACCTAATCTTCATTAGAAGAACATAAGAACCTTCTGTTAAACTCATGTTGTACTCATATAATATTACGGCAACTGTTATTTAAGGTCTCGTTTCAGCATACTGATCAAATGTCCTTTAAGGGAACATTTTAACAAAATGTCACTATTATCGTTATCTAACAACATATAAAACGTTGTTTTGTAAACGAAAATGCTTTTAAATGTTGGAGATTTTACCTAAGAAAAAACGAGTTTTTTTCGTTATTTTTTCCATTAAAGTAAATATATCGTAGTGATAGTCAGTTCATATGTACTCTATGTGCAATAGTTTATTGATCTGTATGTTTTTCTTTTTGTTTTCATTACTTCTTTTGAGAGAACATAATATTAAAACATAGAATAAGACAGATAGATATCTAAGAATAGGCAATAAGAAACAACGCAAATAGATGAATAAAAAAAAAACAAGACACAAAAAAAAACAAGACCGGGAAAAAGAAGAAACCAACAAGTAAGCAACAATATGTATCAAACTACAACGAGATAAATTTGTTCTGTACAAAATAATAACGATGATAAGCTCAGTTATGAGAAAGAGTGCTATTATTAAATTTCCGATAGACGAACAACCGAATACACAAGTTTGCCACAAAAAAAATGATCAAAAATTAAATGATAAAATAAGAAAAGAAAACGTTTGTTTTTCTTACATTGTTACACTAACAGTTTGAGAGCATACAAAAGACAGAATTGAACATTGAAATACACAAAATACTCTGTTCTACTTAACGAGCTGGATACAAACCTGGATAGGCACTATGTCTGACACACAAAAAAAAAAATTCGAAAAAACAATAACAACAATAATTAAGTACAGTCATAAGAAATACAAAAAAAACCTTTGAGTAGACAACTACATGTACATTCACCGTAAATAAAAGAGCAACATTTTGTATGACAATTATTTTTTTGTGTCATTAGTTCTCGTCTCTTTTTCTCGTTTCAATTTCAATCGTCGTTCTAATGCATCCATTTCAGCTTGTAATTTTAATATATCACCTTCATTAAATTCAACAATTTCTAATTCATCATCATTCATTTCATCATCTGTTTGATCAAATATGTCACTAACATCAATATCTTCATCATCCTCTTCGAATGAATCCGCATCCTCCTAAAATTAAAAAATAATTATTTCCATTTAGAGTATTTTTTATAGTAAAAGCGAAAGTACGAGCTAGACAACTTTTTTTCTTCCCATTGATCTTCGCTAAACAAAAGGACAAGTTAGTTATACCTGAAGTGGTTCTGATAGAGGTAACGTGTTTTTTTCATCACTATTCATTGTAATCGACGATGTACCATAGCCACCATTTGACGATGAGGACACAGGTGACAATGAACTAAATGACGAACAGGCAGGAGTTGGCTGTTGAATAACAATAGAGTTTTCACTTGGTGGTGGTGGTGTCATCGTTGTTATGTGATTATTATTCGTCGTTGTAGTTGTTGTCGAATTTTTTACTGGATCACCATTTGTTTTTTGAATGAATCTGACAGTTGGAGTAATTGCTGATGGTGATGAGTGTGATTTAATAATTGTTGATTCACTTGTTGACATCCGAGACGCTAATTTAAATTTAGGAGCTGTGCTAGTTTGGTTGTTAGTTAGATGAGATCGTCTGACTGTTGACGAATGAGAGCCTGTAGACGATGATTGATGTAAATTATTCGGTCGAATCTAAAAGTAGTTTAAATAAAAACAACATAATTGATTAGATTACAATCAATTAACTTACTCTTTCGTTATTTATAGATGAACGTACAGGTTTTTTATGACTAGAAGTTGTGGACGGCGCTTGTTGATGACTTGTACTTGTTGATGAACGATGTTTTTCTTTATTATTATTCTCAATACCCTTTGTTTTCATCTCTCGATTGTTCGATGAAGAAGATGATTGTTTACTGTTGTTATCTAGTGAAAAAATAAAAAAGACTTAATTTTTTTCTGACTATTGCAGTTAAAAGTCTCTTTCGCAGTACCATCCTATACATTATTGTGTTGCTCTTTCCTTTAGCTCTTAAAAATGGACATTACTTACAGTCGTTATTATTTGTTGTTGATCGTTTATTTCTGTTATTTTGTTTATGTTGTTTAGTCGATGACAAAGCTTTTTTCATTTCATCATTTCTTGCTTTCATATATACTTTCATTTTATCTAATTTTTGTCGTAATTTACTACATAACATTTTGATTTGTTGTTGATTTTCTTCACTACCAGTGGCATTACCATTACCATTTGTATTATCTGATAGTTCATCTGTGGTCGTATTCGATGTTAGTTTCTTTTTATTTGTTTCAGCTTCCAGACCTTTGATTTCCATTTTTGTTGTTATATAATCAATTTGTAGATTCACACGTCGTTCATGCTTTTTCAGCGTGTCTAATTGCTGTTTTAACTTCGTACGTTCATATTTCAATAGTTTTCGGTTATTATTATTGGTCGATGTAGCTAATCTTTTTTCTTTATCTTCAATTTGTTTTGTGACATCGCATATCTTCTTATTTGTTGTTTGAATTTCTTTTTGAAGTACAATTAGTATTGATTGTGAATCACGATGATCAGCTAAGACAGGATACGGTAATTTTATTTGTTGCTGTTGTGACTGACTTCGTGGTTTTCTAACAGCAATTTCTGATTTTGATACATGTGATTTTGTATTTGATTTGTTATATGAATCATTAACCGATGAGAATACGCGTTTATTTGGTGTGTCTAATATGGGTCGTTTTCGTTTTCCATCATATTTAGAATGGAATGCATCAAACGATAAAATTGAATTTGAAGATGAACTAGAAAAAGAGCTATGAGAGGATGTGGACGAAGATGAAGAGGATCGTGAACTGGAGGAATTAAACGAAGAACATGAAGAATTTGATCGACTTGTTTTTCCGATATTATCGCTAGACGAATTCAGTGGTGCTTTCTGTTCATACGATGAATAAGACGTTTTATAGTCGGCATAAGAAGGCATTGGCGCACTGTGATGATTATGTTGATTATCAACAATTAATGAAGCCATACAACAAGGAAGTAGATTAATGGATCTAAAAAATCAAAAATCGGTTAGACTAAGATTTTCATGTCTATATTTACAAAAAAAAATCAAAAACTGTTACATTATAGCCGCTTAAATTCACTGTTATGATTGAAGAAAAAAAATTTTAACACATACCTATTTACTTTGATAACCCAACCAGTTTTCAAATCATTGTTGCTAAATCAACATGAATCAGTAAACACTTATTTCATGATTTACACAAAAAATAAATAAATTAATGATAAGAGAACTATCTCTTTTTCCAGGGAACAGACATCTGAAAATTAAATGTTCTAAATGAATGCGTTTTCTGTAAAATCAAATACTAGTTACAATTATAGAGATAGTACGAGACGGAAGATAAAAATCAAATAAATAAAATACTCACCTGATTTCTCTTTTCATTTAAACGGTGAAAGACACACTGAACAACAATATTTCATAAGTAGAAAGGACATTGGTACAATACAAGAAAACATAAAAATTAAACAGTCTCAACTGTTTGACACAAATCATGTACAATACATTTTAGACCAAAAAAAATAATATGATGAACATTAACAAACAATGACTAAAGTAAAACATCAAAGCTGCTATCAAATAGACGATGCTTGAGTTTATTCACAAAAGAAAGTCTGGTCTTCATCAAAATGAGTACGAATTAGTTTTCTAATAAACTACTAGACGTGTAACAACTGGGCTAAAATTTTCTGTAACATATGGAGTTATGTCTAAGTAAAATGTTACCAAATACGATTTTAGAACAGAAAAAAGCCAAAACTTAGTAATACTGATTCTATGAATCATTTTGCAATCTCAATTCTCATTTAGAAGTTCCTTTTTCACAAATAATACGTAAAGAAAGAAATTTTACCGTATAGAACTCCGAAAGGATATGTAAAGTACGATTTCCTGGGTAAAAGTACGATCTGTCTCACAGCTTATTGTTTTCTATTCTTCGATAACACGATGTCAGAATCAAATCATGAGAAAGATAATTGTGAAAAAAAATTCTGGCTGCGTCTAATTCAACAACCATAAAGTATCATACTCAATGAAACGGATGATGTGGGCACTATGGGAGATATAAAAGATACATTGTTTTCTGTCTGTTTTTTTTGTGTTGAGAATGATGGAAATGTTCGTTCTATTCGTCTAGTGGGTTTTCCTAAATGAGTAAAACGATTTAAACTTGGTAATGTCAATGTTAATGTGGTATTTTTTAATGTTTGTATTTTATTGTGTTGTTTTTCAATATTTTTAATAGTCTCATCTTGTGATCGTGCTTGCTGTTGTTGTTCTTGTTTTATTTTATTTTCATTTGCCATCCAATTTTCAATATCGATCCATGAATCATCTTCTTCTGATAAACCTCTTGTGAAATTATTCATATCACCACCATCAATTGATAAATTATTATCATCACTATCGTAATCATCGTCGTGTTCATCACCACTTAATTTTAATAATTCATTAATATCATTATGCGTTAATGAATTAAGAATTTTTCTCGCTTGAATTAAATTCTTTTCTGGTGATGTGGATGATAATGTTGGTGGTATTGTTGGTGATTGTGTAGTAAACTGTTCGAAAAATGATGAAATTGATTTTGATATGGGAGCTATAAGTGGTGTAGTTTGTTGTGCTGGTTGTGCACCATCAAATAATTTTTGAAAAAATGCCATATTCGACGATTGCTGTTGTTGAGCTGATAAATTAGAATTTCCATTCAATGTTAAAAGAATATCAGCTAAATTAGGAGGTGTTGACGATGATTGATTATTCGATGGATATCTGTTCATTAATGGATTGTTATTTGTAGGTGGGAAATTCAACATATTAAATGGAAACATAGATGGAATGGTTGATGAAGATGATGGATTAATATTACCATCATCATAATCCATTTGTTCTGTTTCAACGTTCAAGTCTAAAAAAAAAATAAAATTGGTTCTATAGCACTGACACGCTCAGTATAAGAACTGAAACTAAGCCATCTGAAGCGTACGGCTAAAAAACGTTTTCTTATGATCACATCATATTGAAACCTTTACAAAGCGTCCACAAACTAACAAAAACTGAAACGACCTACAGATATCTTATGAGTACTGTCAATATAATAACTGTTTAAATTACTTTGCATACCCTCTGTTTTGTCGTTAGCATTTATATTGATGCCAAGTTTTTTTTGCGCCTCAAATGTTAAGGCTTTTAATATTGGATTGCTTTCCATCAATGAATTATTCAAAAAACTTTGTTGTAATTGCATGGCGATTTGTCGTTTTAAGTCATCATTTCGGTCTAATACACTGTCTTTCGTTGCAGCTGTAGTATCAGCACTATTTGTTTTCTTATTATGTTTTTTCTTTTTTCGACGTTTTCGGTTTGTTCGTGTGTTCATCGTCGTAGCTCCGGTGTTTGTTGTTTTTTTGTTATCTATCTGCATTTTTGTTGTAGGACCAGCATTTAATAAATCAGTGACACGCGATTTTATTGTATTCAGTGTTGAAGGCATTGGAGTGCCCATAGGCGGTGGTGGAACGGAAAAATCAAATCGACCAAATGAAGATGGTGTAACGAGTGGCGGTTGTAATTGCGCAAAATCTGGATCCGATACTTGTGTATTTGGTACTGTACGTGTATCACTTTGTGATGGCCATACGGGTACTTGTGGTTGTTGCATAACTTCATCCTGATGTTTTTGTTTATCTTCACTATCAGTTTCACCTTCTGAGTCGCTATTAAATATTGTTTTTTTCCCAGTAACTCTTAATAAATCTTTTGGTGACAATTGCTCTTCTTCAACTTCCTCATTTTCCACATCGATATCATTATTTTCTTCTTCGAAATGTTGAGTGTGTTCGAATGAATTATTATGAGATGTTGTTGAATTTTCTTTTAAAAAATTTCTATTTTCTGTTTTCATAAATGAATGAAGTTTATGTACATCTTTAATTAAAAACTGCATTTTTTTCTTTGCCTGTTCTTTTTCTCGTTGTGTTTTGCATTTTGTTCGTTTTAATTTTTCAATTTTAATACGTCCATTAACATATTCAATTTGTTTTTGCAAACGTTTTATTTGCTGTTGTATATTTTCTTGTTCATTACTATTCGCAGAATTTGTTTGTTCAAATAGTAAATGATTACATTTTTGTTCTAACTGACGTAGTCTATCTTTTAGAATACGATTTATTCTATCTAAATCACGATTATCGTTTATAACAGGATATGGAAATTTGATATTAGCAAACGAATTTGTAGAAGTCCGTTGTTCATTAAATGATTCGTGATTTGTAGAAGCCGTTTGTTTAATTAAAGTTGTTGGATCACGTTCATGCGGTACACTACTATCGATAATAGCACGATCTCTTAATGATAAACGACTTAAATTAGATGAAGAATGTGTGGGACTACGAATATTTGATGGTGAATTATCCGTTAAATCCAAATAAGATGTTGTTGAGCGTTGTTGTGAAGGTTTTGCTGCTGCTTTTAATCCACGACTTCTTAATGCAGATGTTTGAATTCCACCCACACCAAACTGATCAAAATCATCAAAGTTTATGTCATCACCAGGCTCATCCAAGTCACGATACGGTTTACTCTTGATAGAAGTGCTAAAATACAACAAATGTAGTCATAAGAAACAGATATGACAAGTTAGTTTTCGAAGAACCTATTTATTTGAAATATTTGATTTTGTGGTATGCTACATTCTCCAGCTTATACAATAAAACAACATCTCAAGCAGATGCTTAAGGTTTAAAACGTACTTGGCCTTTTCCGATGTGCTTCTCTCTCTTGACGGTGATGTTGAGTGTGATCTTGATCGACTACTGGGAGACGATGAAACCGGTGTTTTGGGTCTTTGTCGATGTTGTGGTCGTCTTGAAGGATGAACATGATGGTGAGCTGGCTTACGATGCTGTGTACCAGATGAATGCTGCGAACTGAACGGTTGAGTTAGTGCTGATGTTATTCGTTTCTCTTCATTAATCAATTCTTTTGAGACAATTTGTTCGGGTACGGTTGTGGCTGTCGCTATTGGACGTTCTGGTGTTGGACTATGACTCAAACGTGCTTTTATATTTGTAATACGTGTTTGTACAACTAGACAACGTTCACGCATATTTTTTATTTCTTTCAATAAACGTTTTTTAGCTTCCATATCGGTACTTGGCAGTGCCTTCAATTCATCTCTTAGTTGTAATGCTCTTTTGAATAAATTTGTACGTTTTTCTTTCAATTTTAAATATTCTTGCTTAGGAGTTAAGCGTGTTGTTTCATTAGTATCAGAATCATCTTCATCTTCTTTTGTGGTAACGATTTCACTACTTGGTTTATCCTCAGGCTGATTTTTCTTTTTTTCGGAATCTGAGCCATCTTCATCACTTGAATCACTGCTATCAGAACTTGATGTATTCGATGATTCACTATCGTCATCACTTGAACTTGATTCTTCCTCTTCATCGTTATTCTTTTTATCATTTGACATGTCAGCTGGTCCTTCTTTCATTTTATACTATCTTCAAGACACAAGAAAAGTTTAGATCTATATGAATAAAAGTTAATTTAATACTCACAGTTTGAACTTAGGATTTTGATATTAATGAGCTAAACTGGCTAGTACAGAATGTAAAAATCTAAAATAAGCATGAAGTGTTTATTGACAGAAAAACATTACGTATAATGCATACAGATTGTGAAATAGAGTTATGATTGATCATTGACGAGTTTAAAGGATAAACTTATATTGCACTATATACAAGTGTCAGAACGCCAATTTTCAGGTGTTCTTACTGTGGGTGCACCTCTTATAAAAGGAGTGATTAGGGCAGTATCTCCTGAAAGTCTTTAATGTTCGATGATAAAGAAAAAAGTAAATTGCACAAACGGAAAAGTGACAAAGGAAAGTAGAATTACTAGAATCTGATCAAAAACATAGGCTACAGACGTTGTAAAAGAAAAGAAAAGCCCTGTTGCAGACGACTAAAGTGGAGAGTTATCAATGGTTTATATAAATTTCAGAAAAAAGAATTTAAGCACAAAATCAACTGAATATTCATTTACTTTCTGTTTCTCTTTTTTTGCGTTTTCATATGTAACTTTCAAACGTATTTATTCATTATTGGCAGTAGTTTTACCTAATAAACAGGCCACCAATCAAAATTCCTCTTGTGCCTTCCGGGACTGAATTGCTTTTAGAATATTTTTGTAAAGCTTTTCAGCCAATTTAGTTTAGGAAGGAGAAAGATTTTGTATTTTTAGAGTCATGTACGATGCGCTTGAGCAATAATAGAGTACTCTACCTGCCGAGCGATAGCTTTCTCTATTTCTATTGGTGTTTATGAAGGAGCCTGTGAGATTCGAGTAGTGAAAAAAACCGAAAAAAGTTCATAATCGACTTGTTACTATCTTAGTTATATACTGATAAAACTGTAGAAGAAGTATTGATGAAAGCGCAGATATGAGTGAGGAGAAAACAGTCTGTTTTCATATAAATACTGAAAGGTGAAGATGATGCTCTGCCGATGTATGATGATGCCGTAGTCGGTTTTAGTATACTGATATCTTCTCCGCAGGTGACACAAGTAGTTGCACTTTATGCATTAATTCGTTAAGAAAAACCACAGATAGTCTTCTTAATAGACTTTTATCATAGTGGATTTTTCCACTATCAATGTCACATTGGATGTTTTACAAATAGGATTGCATCAAAATTCACTTCTCAATCAGATTTACAGTTAAAAACACAGTAGAGATTATGATCGGTTTCAGTTTTTTATGGTAGATTGCCGTGGCAAATTTGCTTGTCCGCCGTGCTGTTAAGAACGCTAGCTGCAAGGATTAATCGAACAAACTGTATGTTACATCGTAACCTATTAAGTATGTTTGCAGACGGATGATTCAAGATACTAAAACATGAATAACTTGTCGTAGGTTATTACGTGGCTCGGTCATGAGATTATTGACAGCATCTTAGCAATTTTGTCTGAATGATATCTGTCGTTGAGTTCACCTTTAGGATTTTCTTGGTTGATCTAGCCAATAGAGCAGAATAAGCGCGGTGGAATACTTACAGATTTCAGTAATCATCAATAATTTCTTTATCCTAGTTCCTCAGCACAGCCGTCAGAAGTGATCGAGCCGTTGTGACTGAGTGGTTAAGTTGTTCAGCACGTACCCCCAAGGTACTGTGTTCGAGCCTCGGCGCCACCAGACATGGAATGACCCTGGGCAAGTCATTAACGGCTGCTTGCCTCGGACCACCCGTCCGATAGCATGCTGACTACGTTGTGACATACGCCGACCCTCGCGGCTAGTATGTGATTAGTCAGTGTGTACGGGGAGCGAAAGAACTCTGAGTCAGGCTGGCCTTCTGTCCAGAGCTACAGCTAGTATTAGTTGTAGGGAAGATATCGGGCTTACGAAACTGCCTCCTGGCAGCACCCTATACCGCAAGGTAGCCGAAAGGCGGGGTATTCTTTTTCCAGAAGTGATCGAGTAAAGAACTTTTTCTTTGTAAGTATAGTTAAGCATTTTTTACTTTTCACAGTTATTGAATTTTTTAACAAGTATTTTTGTAGAGCACTGCTTTTTGTATTTAGAAGATATGTTTCAAACAATAATAAGAGGAATATTATCCTATAATCACGTTCATTCAATAAATCGTTTTCTGTCGTTGACCAATTTACTTCATATTAATGAAATATCACAATGGAATTTTATGGATTTAAAAATTAATAGAGTTTGGGGCATGACAATGAAAAAATATAACATGGCTCGCCAAGGTGAAGAAACAATAAAATATTTTCATCAAATGATCAATAAAGGCTGCAAACCAGATTTTATCAAATACCTTCTTGTATTAACGGTAAGTTCAATCATCGGCTTACCGTAAAAATGCAAAAAAATAGTTAATGAATATATTATTTTTCAATATTTTTAGGCATGTATTGACACGAAAAATCTGGACGCCGGAATAAAAATTCATCAAATGATTGAAAATAGTCACGATGATATAAAATATAATCCAAAACTAAGAAATGCATTAATAAATGTTTATAGTAATTGTCATGATATCGACATGGCTGAGAAATTATTCTTCGAACATGAGAAACCTAACACGGCTATGTACGGTGTAAGTTATTTGTTCTATTCTACGAATATGGTCCTTTATCCCATTGACAATAGCTAATATGTCATCTATTTTTGTCGAATATCTGCATAGATAGATCTACGATTAATAATTCATAATTTATGTATATTTTAGGCTATGATTAAAGCATATAATTTGAATGGTTTCCCTCAAAAAGCTCTTGCTTTATACGATAGAGTGAAGAATGATGAAACTTTTGCACCTGATGCTCGTACTTATAATTCAATAATAAATTCGTGTATGAAGATCGGTGGTGAGATGGGTTTGAAAATAGGAAGAACGATTCATGAAAAACTATTATGTGAAAATAAAGCATACGAAAATGATCCAATCTTGCAATCGGCATTAGTTAGTCTATGTAAATTATCCTTTTTTGTTCATCAAAAATAGTTGCTATTACTATTTTCTTTCCAAATCTCCTTGTAACTACTAATTCAGATTATATTTTAATGTTTTAGATGCAAAATGTGGTGATATGCGAAAGAGTGAAGAGATATTCAATCAAATAGAAAAACCAAATATAATTACTTATACTGCATTATTTCAAGGTATAAAAGGGAATATAATACGTGAAAATCATAAGAAGCTCAATTTAGTTCAATCCACTTGTGAAACTTTGCTTGAAGTATTTTAACAAATATAGACTTCTCTTTAACTACTCATTAGAGAAATGTTTCTCGATGGCATTTATTTTTTTGTTGTCTTGTTAGTGCTTAATCAAACCATTTTTATTCGAAAGGTTATAATTTGGCTAATTTACCATTAAAGACATTACAACTGTTTGAAAAAATGAAGAAACGAGAAAATTTTCAGTTCGATTCTCGTTTATATTTAATAATTATTAATGCTTGTTCTCGAACGGGGATGTTAAAACATTCGAAATGGATTTATGATGAGTTATTGAAGGATAAAACGGTCAAATTTAAAGATGACATTATTGTACAGAATGCACTCATCGATGCATTTGGAAAAGGTGGAGATATTCAGCAAGCAATTGAAATATTCAATAAGATGACTAAAAGAGATCGTTCTTCATGGAATACGATGATTCATGTTTTTGGAATTAATGGACGTGGAATCGAAGCTGTAGAGACATTTTGGAAAATGAAAGAACAAAGATTTTCGTTTGATCGTTTGACATATGTGAATGTACTGAACGCTTGTAGCCATTCAGGTCTAGTTAATGACGCTCGATCTATATTTCAATCGATTGAAAAACAAAATATTGATGCTATTATTGTAACAGCAATGGTAATAAAAATATATTTTCAATATTTGAAGAGATGATGTCACGTTACTTATCACCGTGTTCCGACTCAAGAAATATCACATATATCCTAAATCTACCATCGAATTTAGGATGGACAGAAATAATGTTTGCTCTCTCTTTCGATTTTTCAACAGAAGTCGTCGTCTTCATTAGCTATCTGCTCTCCTTACACTTCTAAAAGTGACGAGTAAAAAAAGACCACCACTCGACTACTTTAGGAAAAATTCATTTTTTAACGTTTTTTCTAAAGTTACTTTCTCCTAAAAAAACTCATGAATCCGCCAGTGGTATATTCATATTCTTCTTTGCCAATTGATTGCTTTAGAATGAACTTTTTATCTAAGAAGTTGTTTGACATCTATGCAAAGAAAGTAAGGATGCTTTTTATTTATTAACATTTTAATTTGAATCTGTTTCAGATCGACACATTATCACGAGCATTTGAAATCGACGAAGCCCTAAGTTTGTTGGAACAATATGAAAGAAACAATCCTGCATATCTTAACATGTACACGTGTATATTGTCAGCAGCAAGAATACAACAGAATACAGCTATAGTTGAAGACGTATACGAACGTATGAAAAAAAGAGATGACGTAACAAAAGCCGATTTATATGCGGCACTTATTCTTGTGGCAAACACTTATGCCTCACAAGGAAATTATGAGAAAGCAAATGAGTTACGTCGAGAATTTGTTGATAAAGAAAATTTGAAAAAACCACCTGGTTTAACGTGGACAATGGTTGATGGTATTATTCATGAATTTACAGCACATGATCGACGTCATCCTCGAACATCTGAAATTTATGCCGAGTTAGATAAAATATCTCAAGAACTAAAAGAAGACGGACACGTCTATTCTTCTTCGTGGTTAACTAAAGAAACTGACGATATGGAAAGTGTTCTATGTGGTCATTCAGAGAAATTGGCAATTGCTTTTAATCTTATAGCCACACCATCTGGTGAAACAATTCAAATTACAAAAAATTTACGGATATGTGGTGATTGTCATGAAGCAACGAAACGCTTGTCAAAAATTCGTCAACGAGAATTTATAGTACGCGATATAACACGTATCCATCATTTCAAAGATGGTTATTGCTCATGTGGTGCTCACTTTTAATTAAGATGATTGATTTTTTTTTGTTCATAGAGAATTTGTTTAGTTTCTCAAGACGTTCTTGACATGTTTTGTTTTTTCTGAATGAGTAATCATTCATTTTATGTATGTTCCACAAAAAAAAACGTAGATTGAAATTTCTAGACTTTAATTCTAATTAGTTTTCAGACGTTAGTTTGTGCAATGGTTAAGCTTTGATTTTGTAATATTGATTTTTACTAATGTGATAAGAAAACATTAGCGCAGACATGAACACATCAAGAAAATTTAAGCGGACTATATCAGACCTGTTGATAAATTGAAAGTGATTTAGACAATTATTTTCTTATGGAACATAAGAAATAAAGATACAAAAACATAATATTCAACTATATAGTGAACGTACTGAGAAAAATCTCTTGTGTATTCATGAGTACGGTGGAATCATGCGTTATGTATATTTCGCTATTCTTTATAGATAGATAAAATGATTTGTGTTCATCGATCGCGTCAGTTATTATTAAAGTTTCGCTCTATTACTGATATACAAAAAGCTTTATTATCTTTGACAAGACAAAATTTTGCTGTCACTGCCCCAAGTGCTGAAACGGCTGCTCCAACAGCTCAATCGAGTCAATTAATGCACAATAAATCAAAAACATCATTAAGAGGAACACCGTATAAAGTAGCGGATATTGAAACATGTCTTCGTTATATAGAAAGTGATGCATATACTTCAGCCTATGGTATGCTAATACAAGCAACATTCGCATATTTTCTGGATAATCAATATTCTATGTTTTTTTCATTTAGGCGACCAACCGGTGTGGAAAAATTATGTTCGTAATAGGATTCGCAGTCGTTTTCCTCATTATACACGTGATTTTTGTTCTGAAGAAGGTTTATATATTCGTGGTAATCCCTGTCCGATATGTCGCGATGAATATCTGTTATTAGATTATCGTAATATTAAATTATTGAAACAATTTATTAATAAACATACTGGTGAAATTGAACCCGTTCTTCGAACACATATATGTCAAGCACAATTAAGAAATTTAAGAGTAGCATTGAAAAAAGCTTACGACTTTGGTTTAATATCGTATGAAGTACCATTTCGACAATATAATTATAAAGATTATTACGAACAATTAAAAGATAAACAACCACCACCTTTACTACTAACTATTCTTCAAACATCAATGGAACAAAATATAACCAATTTAGATGAACTTAGTCTAAGTGATAAACAAATACATCAAAACTAAATGTTTATAGGTTGTCTTTTATTTCACTTTTTTGTTTTTCATTTCTAATGTTTATTATTTTGAGAGACCACAGATATAGTTATTAAAAATCAGATTGATGATCAGTCGAAGTAGAGAATAGCATAGAACAAGAATGGAAATTATCTATATGTTAAAGATGATCTTTCTTCACAGAATTATTTAGGAAATTGATCATAAAATTGATAAAGAGTAGCAAAGAAGTTAATGTAATATTGTATTAAGTGATAGACAGCATTTTTTAGATATGGAAGCGTTGACATGCGAAGATGATGTGAAACCAATTGTTGTTGTTGATCGTATTATCAAAATTGGTGGTGCGGCTATAAGTGATAAAACACAATTTGAAACATTATTACCTGACAATTTAAAACAAATCTGTCAATTATTAAAACAAAATTATAAAAATTTGATATTGATTCATGGAGCAGGTTCATTTGGTCATCATCAAGCAAAAGAAAACGATCTAATAAATGGATGTTTAAACTTAGAGGACTATTCTCGTCGACAATTGGGTGTTTGTGATACACGTCGTTCTGTAACACATTTACACAATTATGTTGTTGATGCATTGTTAAAGGAAAATATTCCCGTTATTGGTTTATCGCCGTTTCATTTTCTAATGTCAAATAATCTTAAAATTGAAGAAGGGATTACTAAAAAATTAGAATTAAATTATTCACGTTTATTTGCTTATATTAGATATCTTCTATCACAAAACTATGTTCCATTGTTGCATGGAGATGTTATTTTAGATTATACATTACATTGGACACTTCTATCTAGTGATGATCTAATGTTTACATTAGCAAAAGAATTTCGACCACATCAATGTCTATTTGTCACATCTGTACCTGGTATATTGTCAAATAACAGAGTATTAGATGAATTTTATATTGAACAGGATGGAAAATTCCATAATATTGATAGTATTGACTCATATATATCTAATATAATTGATGTTACAGGATCAATGAAGAAAAAGATAATGATTTGTGCTAAAATTGTGAACGAAATAGATAATTGTAACGTATGGATAGTGAACGCGAATAGTAATACTATTCAAAATCTTTTATTGGATGAAAAAGTGATATCAGGACAAGGAACAAGAATTATTAAACGATTAAATACTGACTGACATCTATTCATGAAGAGTCATCTAGTTTACATCAAATTTGATAATCAATATGATCAAAAGGTGTATGTATGTGTGTGGAAGATAAATATTTTTAAATTGAATCTTACAATACAAATATGACTTATATTTGTATCTTTACAAACCAATTGTATAAAAAACTCTATCTCGTTCATTATCTTTACTAAATTACGGAGAGACGTTGACATTTCGAATTTTTTTTGTTCTTCTTCTAATTAATTGATGATGATATGATGTAGATATTTTGTCATTGTTATTTGACCGTTGAGGATATTCTGACGTAACTAATAACAGCACATATTCACTTTATTTGTCAATAAACATCTGTTTACATTTTTTTTATATTTCTGATGGAAGAAAAAACAAAAAGGATTTTCCAGATGATAATATGTGAATAGATTATTATAACCTTGTAAACTGAGAAATATACGAGAGAGAAAAAACGAACGTCTTTTTATCCACTCCTTATGTGTATGCACGATATATCTAGAACAAAAGATACATATTACGATGTCGCAGAAAAAGAACAGAACACACTGATAATGATGTAATAAAGAATTATTTCTACTTCTATGCCCAATTCTTCGATGTGTTATGTTTTTTTTGTTGTTGTACAGAAACTAAAAAGGTGATGTTAATCGTCTGTATGATGAGATGAGCTGTTTCATTACTTGAGTATAATCTATATTTGTTGACAATAACAATGGTGTTTGTCCCAAATAGTCCTATGTTAGATTTATCATATGATTTATTCAATGTACGTGTTGATCGTGCTAAAAAACCATTAATTCGTATTAAAAATCATTTTTATTATCCATTACAACAAACAGATGATGGAAAATATTCTTTAATTAGAGGTTTAAATAATAAACCATTAAAATGTCCAAGGTTAGTATAGCGTATGATCCATTTAATAATCAGCATGATTTACCTTTTCAATTAATTTGTATCATGTAGTTTTTGAGAATAGATTTAAATGTATGAAAAGTCAATAAGAACAAAATACTAATTTTTATAATTATCAGTATTTCTCTTCTCCGATTCTTTTTATGTTCAACTATGAAAGGAGCAATTTATTCATATCATACTTTAATCAATCAACAATTGTCTTGAAAAATAAAGAAATATAATAATTAGAAGTCAAATGAGACAGACAATTATATATATATATATTGTATGATTGTTCATAATTATTTTTCTAGGACATTTTGTATTTCCTTATTTGAAAATGACTATTTTCTCTTATTAATTTATTGTATAATTGTGTCTGACTTATCTTTAAACAAAGTTTTTGTATTATCACTATCATTTAGTAGTTGTTTTTATCTGTCATTGTCTAAAAGTTAGAATAACTTTTATATCCTGTCATGTTGGATAAGAAGTTATAATAGAATATTATATATAATTACGATCCAGGTCACATTATAGTAATTGCGAATATTTTATTGAATAACTTGTGATAGAAATAAAATAGAGACATGTACATTTCGTCATTTGATAGAAGAGATTAAGGAGAACATATTTTCATAAAAATTAAATTAAATATCTTTTTTCGAGCTAGATTCTTGAAAGAATTTTGAAAGAAAACTCGTTGGAACATCGGCAAAACCTGGTGAAAATTAATTCACCTAGTTCATTTTCATGTAAAACTGACAATTTCACAACTCACTTCAAACTGGTTCAAAGCTTTAAAATATGTTCTTTTTCATCTGCTTGACATGATCATGTGATTCAAAAGTGTGAGAAGAATCTATCTGCACTTCCAAAATGGAACACGATTTTGGAAAGCCACTGTGATTTAGAAAACATTTTATTTGAATTTTCGAACATAGTCGATACAAGAAAGATGGGTTGAAATGTCCTCTATATAATTATCAAAACAAAAAAAGAGTACTTCTTGCGGCTACGGTTGTTAGTGTAGGACACACGGTTGTTAATGTGCTGACAAGTATCAGTTTTAGTAGTCCGATATCTTCCGTACAGTTCACAAACCTTTGGTACGGTTACTCATCTCGTTACTAGTCATCAGCTACTCTGTCTACAAGACTAGCAGAGAGTTGAAAAGCCTCTACAGGGACTAATCGGAGATATATTGTGCGTCATGACGCAGTACGTGTGCGTTTGTCTTAAATACGATTTTTTTTCCTATTTTTCTCCACTTTGAGGACCTTTTCCGTGTTTCACTTTATCGTAGAACAATAATCTGTTTTCCGTTAATTAAAAAAGTTAATAAAAGAAGTTATATATACTATTAAGTTTTATCAATGTGCCACAACTGTTCAAAAATTTCGATTGTGGAAATGATTAATTTCATTCCTGTAATATTCTTATATTAATCGACAGTGTCCATAAGCCAAACAAGTACTATTCATCTTATTAACAGTATCAAAATTTTCAGATTTCCAGTAATTTCTCCCTTTACAAACTTTCACTCCTTGTTCTTCCTCTTTCAGGAATTTAGGAAAGGAGGTACATAAAAACTGAAATGGAAGGAGAAGACAGAATACTCTGTCTTTCGATTACTGTTACCAGTATAAAGTACTGACAAGTATTGCTTTTAGGTAATTCTAGGCGCCAAGGTATACGTAACTTGTCTAAGAACACAGAATGTTTGAAGTATATGACGAACAACGTAATCACCAAGCGAAGCTGTCTACGAAATTGAGTATAGACAATGAAGAAGATTAAGTATAAACAAATACTCATACATGAAAGCATCCTGTTTCAGAATGATACATTTACCATATTTGTGATGATAAATATACGGACAAAGATGCTTTACAACTGTTGATTGATTTAATAAAAAGAATATCAATTTGCAGTGGTAATATTATGCGTGAATAATGATCTGTGTATTTGAATAATAATGCAAATATATAATGTAAGGAAAGACTATCAACAACCTAAGATCATACGTAAGATCTAAAATGACGTTAATCATCAATACTAGCGAAATTCCATAACTAATCGAAGTTTTCATTAGACGTTGACTCAAATACCCAAGCCATGTTTTTGTTTGATATTCTATACACTCTAAGTTAGTCATACTTCTATATTAATAAAATTTATTTTATTTTATATTCAGACGTTTACTTGCATTGTGCATTCGAAAGTTGATTCAAAATGAATGTTTTCTCTTATTATGTATTCAACAACAATTATTATCGACAAATATTTATTATTCTATGGCTCAAGAAGCTATCTTTAATTGTGAATATCAAATATTGGAAATTTTAATCTCTTGTTGGCCATGTACAAGACTCGATATAACCAAGTTAATACCAGTGACAATGAGTTACAACGATGATGAAGATAATGTGACGATACAACATGATTATTTATCAATTATTCTTGAAAAAAAATTACAAGATGGTTCAACATTATTAGATTATATTAGTATGGGCATTGTTAATAAACAACCGAGAATGTCAAGATTAAAAATTGTCGATTTTCGAGCTTGTTCATCAAGTTAGTATTTTTTTTTTCTACTTGCTTGTTTATTAACACAATAATCATTCTATTATTTAGGTATTCAAATGACCAAAGAAGTGTGTCGTTTGCCTTTGCTTTGGATATCACCGACAAGACGTTCAGCCAATCGTCTCTTATTACAAATGAAACATGGAATGTGTAGGTGATATGAAAATTGACAATTAGATTAAATTTTTAAACGTATCTATTTTAGGTATTGATAAAGTTAAACTGGAACAATATTTAGACGGTTTTAATTATGTCTATCAGTTCTATGATAAATCTATTTCTCATGAAATAAATTCCGGTAGTTTGATTAAGCATGGATTTATGTCTAGTGTGTATCAGATTCTATTTAATGCATGTTAACCTGATGAATTATTATTTTTGAAACCTCTCTGTGTTATGAAACTCATAATCTAGTCTTTTTATTTTTATCTAGTTGTTTTGAAATATTTCTCTCTGTTTGAACTCACTAGTTTAATATGTTTTTAGAACCAATTAAAATTCTTCTTGATTGTCATATTGTAAATGAAGACACATTACTTGGTTTACAAATTCAACAACTAACACCATTTCGATTTCATTTTCGTAAATTATGGATATCTTATTATATTAAACAATGTCTGATGGCTAATACATCATTTGATCTAAATCCTATTCTATTTTTAACTAATGTTGAAGTATATATTCATCATTTGTAGTTTAATTATACTAACTAAACTAATTTCTAATCATTTGTTTCAGACAATTACCCATTTACATTTGAGTGATATAAATATGGATGCAACAGAAAAAGAGCTTACACTTCTTGTTCGATGTTTATCCAATTTAAGAAATCTTCGTGTATTATGTTTACAACGTATACTAAATCTTTATCCTCAACGGTATGTTTATTTAAAACTAAATATTAGTAACAAATTGTACAATATTTTTCTCTTTATTTTAGTTATACCCATGTTCATTTTCTAACTGATTTATGTCAAGATTTTAATCGTTTATTTCGTCGTTTAATTTATTTACGAAAACTAGATTTATCCTATTCCTATCTTCGTTCTCATATTCGTACACTTCTAACCGGTCTTATTCAACCATTAGACTATCTTAACTTACAAGATTGTCGTTTGACATCAATTGATATAGAATTTATTAATTCAATGCGTAATATACGATACATACGAGAATTAAATTTAAGTATGAATGATTTTAGTACATGTTCTACTATAATTATAAATATTGTTGAAAAAATACCAAATCTTGTATCATTATCATTAGCCTATTGTCAATTGAATCCATCAACTTTAGTTCAGTTAGCCACATGTTTTAAATCAGTTAATGAACAAAAAACATCGATCAGATATTTATCATTAAAAGGTTTTATTCCATATTTAAATTGGGAATTTTTAGATTTATTACATGCCTACGCAAATCTAATGACATTGAAAAAATTATTATTATTTCCACAATTGTATGCTTATCCGGGAGCAAATGATGATGAAAGAGAAATTACAGCACGTGATCTTTATAGACGATGTTGTACTATATTACAAACATTAGGACGAACAGATTTAGAACTTTTGTAAACATTTTATACCATTTTGTTGAATTTTAATAAATGATTCTTAATATGTTATATAAATAATTGTAATGATTTTTTTTGAATAACAAAAAACAGTTGAATTTTTTCACATTCTCTTCTATAATAAGATGATAAGTGCACACATTCTTCTATGATAATAACAGATGGTGGCATTTCATGATCAACTTATTAATTTATATACGATTCATTTCAATTCCATTGCAGAAAACCTTAAAAACTACAGTATTAAAAAGAAAAACATGAGACTTAGAATTTTCATATTAATAATATGTTTAAATAGAGTAACATGCACTATACAAATCGGTATAAGTTCGAGTTTTGGGTTTGAACGGAAGAAATATTTTTCTGAGATTGTGTAAAACTTCGTCTGTCACATACGATTTTAAAATTTTGGAATATCAGAAATACATGAAAACATAGATTATCAAACTACTCGGGACTCTTGTGACCATGTTTGGTTCCAGACAAAAGTTCAAAGAAGTGTTCAACTTAGTTTATAGAAAATAATTGTTTTAAAACTATTTTTATAGTAACTTAAAAATCTTATAATTCAATCGAAATTAATTCTAATTTTTTGAAAACTTTAAGCTTTAAGGACAGTAACAAGTTAAACTCATAAAGAGTGTAAAAATTATTAAAATAACATTTTGGACTACAGATGAATTGAAAATGAACAATTATTTCTTGTTATTTTGTCATACTATCATGTTTTGTACAGAAAATCAAGTGAGTCTAGTCTCTAAATTATACACGAACATTTTGCTTCTGGCAAAACCACAGTCAAACTGAATGCATCGAATCTTAATGACATCTAATGTCCACTTTATCTTACCACTATAAAAATACTAATTAGTATAAAATCACAACATTTACACACGACAAAGTATCAAGTTTCGAACAATAATTGTCATCAACACAAAATAGTCGAATAAGTATAACATCAATACAACAGAAAATGTTGTATCCGACAAGATAGATTAATTGAATATTAATATTTTATCTTTCAAAACTGAAATCGAATCTTTGTCAATCGTATTCCTAATGAAAAATTTTGATAATTAAATATTCGAACGAAACAACGAACTTCCATTTTATTAATCTCTATCATCTCATACTAATACAGAAAAACAGAGTCAATATTAAAATCTTTTATATCGACTGTATGCAGTTTTATATATGATACAAAAAAAGTTGTTTTATTCATTTATCCTTAATGGTACACTCAATTTGACACATTATTTAGAATGCATAGTAGAATGAGTCTATCAATATACGCTGATGTTCGAGTGCATATAGTAAAATGTTTACAATTCTGTTTATTATTGAATCGAATAATAAAATAGTTTTTGTCTTTAATATTCTATTTACCTGTTTTCTTTTGTATCAACAGGAAATGGTAGTTATTTACTCCCATTAGTGTCAATTAAGTTTCATCTATAATAATATTATAATATTCTATTTATATTTTATAATGTATCTTATACTATCTTTCTCTATTTTATCAATGATTTTCATCTGAAACATCAACCGATTTATGAATATATTATTAATAAAATATGTTAAAAAACTTTTCGATATTAGCTAAAAATCATTATAATTCTTAAAATAAGATAGTTGAAAACATGAAATCAATGAAGAAGAAGGTAATCATTGGAATACTTTACTTTTGAATAGTTGATTAAAATCGATATTATTTTGTTTATCAACTCTTGTTTATTTTGTTTTAAAATATATTGATTTCAAAATCTTGTTGAATTTCGTCTCTGTTTTTGTTCGGAAACATGTGCATAAACGCCTCTCTCTCTCGCTCTATCTACGAAATAAAATATTCATAAAAGATTACTGATGTGCATCGACATCGATTTGTTCTTGTTTTATTTTTTTTATATGTCGTTTACACCAAATAGATATTAGAACATGTTTTTCCGTTTTGGATGTCACAATAATATTTGTACTTTTTTCTCTCCCTTTCTCTCCATTCTAATATTCTGCTTGTTTTTTTAATTAATATATTAATCCTATCTACAGTAGCGATTGAGTTCTTTTTCTCTTCGTTTTTTTTTTTTTGATTTTTTTATTCCCTAAATGAAGAGTATTGATAAAAAAACTAAGGAAGGAGAAAAATTTTGAAAATACTTTCTTCTATCTTTTCATCTGAATTTGATTTATATCTCTACTATGAATAGTTCAATATAATCACTTTTTTTTTTTATGAACCAAAATGTTGTTACTATAATTGGACGAAAATAAAAATCTTATTGTTAAGGTAAATTGTAACATTTTTTTTGTTTTTTAATCATTATCTAAAATAATAGTCTTTCTATCACACACACTATTCTCAAAATGGACTATGTTAGTAAATGTCTTCCAATGCAGAAGATAGTCTATGGAAACATTATCTACGTTAGATGATAGTTCACAATGATACGTGGCGGGTATGTTTATTAATCGAAAATCTTATATTTGGTGTCTAAACACAGAATTCTTATAAGTTTTAAAGCGAAAATTTCGATAATAATACTTAAAAAACGAACATCGAACAGTACAGTACTTTTAAACCGGAATGTATCGAGTGTGGAACCATAGTTTTTAACTTTATCTTCAAGCAGACTGCATCAATCGTATAACATATTCAATTTTTTTTTTGTTTGACAAATGAGTTTTGTACAACAAACATTTTTCCTACAAAATAAGATAAATGTTTATCATCTTAGAGTGATGTTTCCTCAAGAAGTCATAAACTTCTTCGCGGAAGTTCAAACGATTCCAATTTTGCTTCGAACGGAAACATTCAGAATTTGTAGAAAAAAAATGTTTTCTCAGTTATCAAAAACAACAAAAAAATTTAATATATTATACTATTGATGCAGTCTGCTTGACCATAAAGTTAATAAAACTACGGTTCCATAATCGATGCATCTCTACGTGTGGTATCAATTGTCTACTAACAATTTTTTAATAGATGAAAAACTATTTGAATCTTATGCGTTCTATAAGAAAAGAAACAAAGTAGTCATAATATTTCAAAATTGATAATGTTAGAAATGAAAGTGAGTAAGAAATCAAGTGATATTCTTTGATTCAAGAAAGAATTTACTGTTCTTTTATCAATAATTCCCAGTTTTGATCCTATTCAGATCATTAATGGTACGATGGTTATTTATTTTTCTTATCGGGATATGCATTCTTCTAATAGTTCGTTACTGAAGATCATATAAGAACAGTTGGTTTTATTTCAGTTGTTAAAGTTCCGCCTTTGATATGTGTGTATGAAGTTTAATCAAAAAATTACTTTTCTTTTTTTGTTTATCTCTCTCTCTCTCTCTCTTGCACGTACATATAGTCAAAGTAATTTGTCGGTTAATATATATACTAGACAATCTCTATAGATCTATCTGAAACTGTTTCATTTGTGCCTCTTGATCTTGTTAAAAATGACACCCTCTCACTTTGTACCTGTTTTTTATTATGAGTTTAAGATTACGGACACACACATACACAAGTTATGCTTGAGGCTATATTTTTGTTAAATATACTCATATTTCATGTTTCTCGCCTTCTTTACCGACATTTACATATTGATGTGTGTCTGTCTAATTAGTCGCACAATGAAAAAGACTATTACAGCCTTGCAGATAATATGAAAAAAAAACAATTTAATGTTTATATGGATTTTCTAACTGAAAAAAAAAATAGAACTTTTTTTGTTTTAAAATGTCATGTTTTGAATAATAATTAACCGTTATAATTGGATGATATATTATTTCCGTAAACCGTGCAAAAGAAACAAGAAATGAAATAATCATGTGTATAAACAGGAAGTTTAGAGTAGTGAAATAATTTTATAAATTATCATTATTAATTGATAAGCATTTAATTAGACATTTAAAATTGAGTATATAAACGTCGATTATCTATCATCATCACATCAATATTCTTAAGTTTTTATTTTTTACTGATTTTACTCTCAACTAATCTATCTAAAAAAAAAATGTCAATAATTTGCTGTTTTTTTTTTTTTTTTGTTTTTAAATACCATTTTTTTTTCTTCTTCTTCTCTAATAGACAGCTGAAATTAATCGAATGACAACAGGAAAATAAAAAAAAAAGAATGTAAAAACGTGCCATTTGAATATCTATAGACATGTTGTCAAGCATTGTTTAATTGCTCATTAAAGACAACAATAGTGATGAAGTAGAGAATACAAGTCTATATCCGGGACAGATGATTGAGAACAAGTAATTAATGATAATTCATCTATTCATAGGCTGCTATATGAACATGAAAGAATCAAATAACAATAGAACCATCCGTATAACATATCAGTACAAAGAGAGAGAGGAAATATATGAAATGTGAACAGACTTTGTGTCAATGTTGTTTTCTTGTTATCAGAGACATTTTCATTTTTTTTCTCAACATACACATTCTAGGCATATTTTTAGTAAATCAAATTAATGATATATCGAATAAATTATTTTCGTATGGAATCATTTTTTATTTCTTTGCTATACTCATTTCTAATAATACACAATTTTAGATATATATAATATTAGCCATCTATTTTATATTCGATTTTTCATTGAACAACTAACTATATCACTTTTAGTCATTAAAAAATTTTTCATGCAATATCCAATGAATATCACATATTTTCACTTTTTCAATTTTCTTAAAATTATACCTTTTTAAAATTGTGTTTTTTTTTATTTTGTTTTGTCTAAATCAATTTGCCTTTTTCTCCAAATTGACACGATCAAATCAGAATTTTGATTGTTTTTTATTCTATTCAATATGAAGACTAATAATTATCTTACTCATACATTGTTTGTTCTAATTCTTTTAGTTCGTTTTTTTTTTGTTTTTCTTCTTTTAGTATACGGTAAGAGAACAAAGTAATAACAATCGGTTGATGTTTCAAACATTATTTATAGTTAATGTTTTTCTTTTCTTACCTTATCATCTTCAAAACTGGCTGGATTTCGTTTAAGACGTTTTCAATCTCATCCGTATATTTATTTATACGCACCATTATCTATGGGCGAAAATCGAACAATAACAAATAGTTGTCTAATTTGTATTTTATTCGGTATTTGTCTATTTTTTATTGTAATTATTTCAGCAATTATTATTTATCATTTACATGAACATTCTTATACATATTTTTCAAATACATCATCAAATATTTTAATAAATGAAAATTATACACGTTCATATGATTTACTATTAAAATCAAATTTACCAACATTTGTCGATATTAAATGGAATCCATGTGAACATTTTTATGATTTTGTATGTTATAAATGGACACAAGAAAAATTATTTACAAACATGATAGACAAAAAATATAAGAGAATTCGGCAAAAACTTGATGGAAAATTAATGATTATTAATGAGACGAGACAGCGGACACCAGATTCAGGTAAATGTTTTATTTGATAAGGTACGCACGCACAAGATAAAATTAAAATAAAATTTTATTTTTGATCTTATTATACATCATTGGATAGAGCATTTCGAGCTGATTAAGAAAATGGATTTTTTAATTTTAAAAAAACAACAACTTTTTGAGAGTGAAAAATTGAAAATACTTAAAGGACTTGAAAAGTCGAAAAATTCTTCAAGTTCAAAAAAAAGCTCAATATCTCAGCTCCAAACAACTATACAAATTTTAAAATATTTTTTTCTTATTCAGCATTGAAAGCTGAATAGAAAAAAATGGTATTTGATCAATTTCGAAGTTAAAAGCTTGTTCAGCACGGACATTCCAAACATATCCTCTAAAGTTTTGTATTTCTATCGTATTCGACTACTTTAATTTTTTTCAAATTTTCACGTTAAAAAAATGACCAAGATTTTCACTCAAAATTGAAAATCAGCTAAAAATGCTGAAATACAGATTAGTCGACTCAGTTTTTTATTCTGATTCCAAATATGATATTTTTATTGCTTAAAAGTTGAATTCTGATTGAGAAAATCGAGAATTACGGGCAGAATACCGACTTTTTCCCCTCTGATTTGGTTTGGTTTAAGCCTGTAATCTTGAACCAGAACGAAATCGAGAATAGAAATTTCCATTATATCATTCTGAAACTTAAACTTATCAAAACACAAAATCAATCCTTGCACGAAGCTAGGATCGAACACACGAACTTGATCTTTGCAGACGAACTGCAAAAATCAATCCGCTCTAATTTAGAAAAAAGGAATTTGTCAACAACGAAGCAAAATTTTTTGAAAAAAAGCGAGTCATACTTTTGAAGTCAAGTTTCCTTCAAATATTTTCAATTTTTCACTCTCAAAAAAGTTTTTTTTTTTTTTAAATTAAAAAATCTATTTTCTTAATCAGCTCGAAATACTCTATCCAATGATGTATAATAAGTTCAAAAATAAAATTTGATTTTAATTTTGCCTTGTGCTCATCTTATTCATCTATATAGATAGAGATATCTCACAATTATACGAAAGACTCTATTTGAAATCTACTGTTACTCACAATAGAAAGATTCTACAATGTTAATTTTCTTCTTGCTATTTGTTCATCTCAAAGATACAATGACTTCTTCGAAGTTAATATTATTTATTTATTATTGTAGAGACAAGACAGTTTATTGTTCACCTTTTCTAGGAAAATGTTGGTAGCCAAAAAAAAAGTGTTACAGAAAATTTTTTTCAATAGTGGTATATACTTCTTCTGATTTATTTATCTTTCATACATTTTATTTTTGCCTTATTTCAAACAGCTTTCTTCATGATAAATATCAATGTTTGTCAAATAATCTTGCTCACTCGCTTTATGTGCACGCATCATCATCAAAAATTGGAAATAATCACTACGCTAAATCATTTTCAAAAAACATATTTCTGTTTTGCTTGAGATATGCTTTTTGTTCAGTTTCACCGTAAATCATATGCTCTTAGAGCTAGAATGTGGTATTATCTTAATTCACTTGAAGGTATCAAAATTAACTGATCTCTAAATGTTTAATAATATCTTTTATATGTAGAAAAAAAAATTAAACAACGGCTGTTTAATATAGTCTATTGATTTTTCTTTTCTTTTTGCATATAGGAGTTGACGAACAAGTCGTTGATAATTCAACATTGTCCATAATTCAAGATTTTTATCAAATTTGTCAATATCAGCCATCACATATTTTACTAGATGAATTACGTGCTCATATTTTCTCACTTATTGAACAATATCCATTTCAAAATTATTTTACATTATTTTCTAATACAAATTTAACAACAAATGTAACAACATTTCTGTATGATGAATTATTATTTTCGAACAGTATTTTAAATCCATTTTTTTCTATTCATGTACAAGAACAGTCTTCTACAATTATATATGAACGTCGACCATTACTTCAATATCAATTGACATTTAATAATATCAAACAACTTTTAAAATTTATTACAACAACATTAAATTTGATATCTGTTCAATCTTTATATCAATTTGAAACTGATTTTAATCATTTAATATCGACTGAACAATATTTTTCTAAATCAAATGAATATAATACATACACAGAACAATCATTTATTATTAAACGTATAAAAACATACGATTTTTCATCATGTCTCGTCAATAGAACATATTATCCATACATGATTGGTGTAAGTGGTCTCAAATATTTATTAAAACGTTTAATTAATGAACAATTAGGTACAAATACAATAAATATAATTCAACATTTAGATTCAACAAATGATGATAAAACATTTTTAGCTCATATTCAATTATTATTAAGTGAAATTGATACTATTGAACATGTATTTATATCAATGAATGAAACATCATCAACAATAAGTAAATGTTTGAAAATGACACTAAAACAATTGACAAATAGAAGTTTGACAGCAAATGAAGTTAATCAAATCTTTAATTTTACCATATTATTAAATCAAACTAAACGATATTTATCCAATGATTGGCAATATTTTGCTATTTTACATAAAAATTTGTTAATAAACACATCTATTGATACTCTTGTCAATTTTATTCTGTGGAGATATTATTTAAGATTATTAATACCATATTATCAACCAGTGGTGTCCATACCATCACTTAATTATAGAATACACTCAAATTCTTGTATAATTAATAGTTGTTTCGATTTATTACATTGTCATTATCCATTTCTTTTAAATTACTTGTTAATTGATGATGAGAACAGAATATCAACTATCCAGGTAAAATCACCTACTGATCTACTTTAAGCTCTCTTCCTCAGAGTCCCTATCATAGAAATACACAAATTCCAATTTCAAGATAAGTCTACGGTTGAATAGTCCCAAGTATTTACTATACTATATTACGATGTTTGAACGTATCCAAAGTTTCTGAAAATTTTTGAGAAAAGCTTTTTAGAAGCTTTTATAATGAGAGTTATTGAAAATCGTCTAAATATCTCCAACACTTATCCAAACATTTCCATTTTGATTCAGGTTACGGCGACATTTTCTATGATAGAATAGATGGAGTCTTTGCCGAGATCAGTTTTTGATAGGAGAAATTCTTCATTTCCAAAGGCTATAGTGGGTGAACATCCGATTGATGATGCTTGTCTATTTAAATAAAATTGGTTAAATCAATCCTTAACTAATTCTAACTACAATTATGTCTGCTATTAGAATGAAGAAGAAGTGGAACACAATGACGACAATGTAATTCTAACACCAATTGTTAAAGATTTAATATTGCGTTATCGTCAATTAATTGATCAGTCTGATCATATAGACGTGAATGAAAAATTGTCTATTACAGATGAATTAGATAAATTAATTATTGTTGAAGGACATTATAATAAACAGCGTACTAAATATCTCTTTAAAAATATGAACAGTTATTTTTTACAACAATTTGCTATTCACGAACATAACTGGACATTTATTGAGTTTGTACAATTATTTGTTAATTATTCTGAACAAGAATACAATATTATTGAACCTCAACTAAATTCGTACAATATTCTTCCCACTTATATTTCTTCAAAACATATCCTCTTTTTACCATACGGTTTTCTTAATGATTTAAATGCAACAAATATTATCTATTATCAATATCAAATTAGTTTATTATTATTACAGATAATTCGAGAGAAAACAAAGGTAAAACAATTATTTCGTTTAGAATGTTTAATAAAACAAGATGATTCTGATCAAGTGATATCATTGTCAAATGAACAAATTGTTTATTATTTAATTCGTTCTCAAGTAATGCAACAATATAACATCATATCAGATGAATATTTATATCCGTTTATTAATGCTAGTATAATCATGCAATTATTTCTTATTCATTATTCATACAATTTTTGTTCAAATAATTCCACTTTCTTCAACAAACAATTAGACGGTTATTTAAATGATGATAAAAATTTATTATTTCGATGTCCAAATGCTATTTACTTGAAACGATCAAAATGTTTTCTTAATTAAAATATGACATTATCTTACAAATAAAAATCATTTTCAAAAAATATGTATAGACATTTTTTGAAACTACGTATGTATCGACACATTATTCCCATTAAAAGACAATAATATGTCGATACACACGTAGTCAAATAATCAACTTTTAAATTGGAAGAACGAGCCGCCTTCTCGTATAACATTTTGATGTGATATTTTAAGTTTTAGTTGCGTCTTCTCATCTTTTTTGTCTCCTTTTAAACATTCATGCTTATTTATCCACTTTTTTTTAATATAACGCTAACGAAATCTTACTGAAGTGCGCGAAAGTATAAAACGTATTTCTGTCCGTGTAAATATGTTATCAATGAACGAATATAGAAAACATATAATTAAAACTGAAAATGTTTTATTTTCTTATTTTCATGTTTTTATTCTGGTAAGCTATAATGAACCTATGAGAACTAGATTTTGATGCTTATACTACCTGCTACTTCCTAGAGTTTTGACGGCTTAATATAATTACAAATGTGCCTCTATTAGAACACACTGAATATGTCAAACGCATATCCAGGTTATTTTAGCTTATTACTAAGGAAATATAAGCGAATTGTCTTGCGAAGATTCCACTTTTCTAAATAAAATGTCGAGCGTATTATATAGACTGGCTATCGCAAAACAAAACGTGATGAATAGAAAACAGGATAAAAATTTCATCGAAGGATACAATAAATGCGTCTTCTGCAGAGGCACTGTTGAATCTGTCCTGTTATAAGACCCCTATTGCATGACTTTGGATAAATTTGCACACTTTTATTTTGTTGAATGTGGTGTGACACATTTTAAAGAATGCCTTATGTGCCATTGCTCATGACATTTGCCGAAATATCTATATGTAGAGCATCTTTCTGTTCAGATATTTCATAGATGTCCGCTGACACGACCCATTACAGGGTACATTGTTTTACAGTATAATACATGAAATCACGTTGTCGAACACATAGCTGTAAACTTATCACATACTTCAAGACTGTTTTTCACTATTCTAACACAATAATTGAGAATACTCTTTCATGTAACTATCAACGAATAGCATAATCAGTATTCCACTTCAACAAAAGACAATGAGAACCGACAATTTACCATAAAACACTCCCTTTTTAGGTTGCAAACCCCTGTCGACCGATTCACTTTTTTACTCAAAAGCATAATGATAATCTGCATGTTTCACCTGGGTTCGTCCAAGAATTACAGTCAGCATTCCGATTTTCTCCGACGGTCGATTGAATTTGTTGTTGACTTTCTTTCCCGTATAATAAAAATTGTTTTTTTGCGATTCATGCGTATGTACAGCTCTTTCGCTTTCCTGGTTTTCACTTTCTGTGTCAGAGAGCTTCGTACCGCATTCCCAACTCTCGCGTAGTATGATTGCTATCTCGTTATTTATGCGTCTGTTCAATCCGAAACGTGTCAAAAGAGAGGGAAAAGGCAAGGTGTCATATGTGTAGATGATTCACACTAACGGTGTGATCGCCTTTCTTCAGAGCCAAATATTTTACAAACTAAAAGGAAACTTTTCTAGAAAATAGGTCACTATAGTGTACAACATATCTACTTGAAACTAGTATAAAAAGTGCAAAAAGATCTTCTCTAACAAAAATCAGATAACAGAGGGAATATTTGAGTTAATTATTTCCTATACATTTATTGAATTTCGAAATGTATTACTAGTAAGATTATTAAAATAATATTAAACATCCCGAGGAACGACAGCACATCATTTATAGACTGACAGGAAGTTGTGTTCTATTGTATGTCAGAAAGTGTTGACGTGTTGTCATTCTTGTCTCTGTTTGTTGCTGATGTTGCTTTTGCAAAGTCGACGGTATATG